AATGTATTCATATCACGTTCACTTCCTATACCCCCTTACTCCATCTAGATTCCCTCCACTTCCCTTTCCCAACTTTATATCCCCTTTTCCTCATTCTTTTACTGAAAATGGATTTTTTTCATATAATAAATCCTAGTTACAATGTCCCCTCTCTCTACTCCTCCCAGTTTCTTCCTACTTCCCCTCCCCTCCAGATCAACTCTACTTCTGTCTCTCAGAAAAGAACAGGCTTCTAAGAGATAACAACAAAACATGACAAGACAATAAAACAGGAGAAAGACCCATCACGTCAAAGTTGGACACAGCAAGCCAACGGAAGGAAAGACACCCAAGAGAAGAAAAAGAGCCCTAAGAGCAAACACCAGAATCAGAGACACACTTGTTTTCACACTCAGGAGTCCCATACAAATACTAAGCAAATAGCTATACTATATATGCAGAGGGCATAGTACAAACCCAGGCTGGCCCTGTGCTTGCTGCACCAGCCCCTGTGAGCTCACACATGCTGTGCTTAGTTAATTCACATGGCCTTGTTCCCCTGGTGTCCTCCAGCCCCTCTGGCTCTTACAATCTTCCTGCATCCTCTTCATGGGATTTCCTGAGCTTTGAGGAGAGAGACTTGAGGGAGACCTCCTATTTAGAATCTCTTTCCATGTAGTATCTGGCCATGGGTCTCTGCATCTGCTCCTATCTGCTGTTGGAGGAAGCCTCTCTAATGATGACTGGATAAAGCACTGAGCTGGGTATAGCAGAATGTCATTAAGAGTCATCCTAATGCCCCCCCCTTTCAGACCAGTAGTGTTGTATTTTACCATAGGTCTCTGAGATACCCAGTGTCTGGATCTTGGTCACCCATGCAAAGTTGGGTATGGGTTTTGTCTGGTGGAGTGGAACTTAAGTCAAATCAGACAGTGGTTGGCTGCTCCCACAGGTTCAATGCCACTGTTGCCCTAGACATAGGGCAGATCATAGGTTTCTAAACATCTGCTGACCCAGCCCCAGTCCTGGGGCCCAACTCACGCTCTGGTTCTGTCTCAGTGTCTTTCCACTCAGGTTCTACCTGAGATGTTTCTTTCTCATCTTTTATTTTCTTGGTTAACATGGCCAGGGAGTGAACCCAGGGCCTCGCAACTGCTCTGCCACAGAGCCACACCCCTAATGCCCTAATGAAAAGCAAGACCTCCTCTTTGCCATTTAGTTCTTAGTTTAAAATGTCTGTCCTTTGCAGAAAGGTGAAGGTGGATTTTTCTGTTCCAGTAGTCACTCCCTAATAACCACACAGAGACTTAATATTAATTACAAATGCTGGGCCGATAGCTTAAACTTGTTTTTAGCTACTTCTTATAGCTTACATTGACACATTTCTATTAATCTACATGCTGCCCTGAGGCTCGTTATCCTCATGTACATACTTCCCATCCTGCTTGCTCTGTGTCTCATGGTGTCTCCTCAGACTCCACCCTTCTTCCCTGTGTCCTCCTAGTCTGGTTCTCCTGCCCAATCTCTTCCTGCCCAGCTATAGGCCAGTCAGCTCGTTATTAACCATTGAGAGTAATATACATTTACAATGTACAAAGATCGATCCACAGAAGCTTCCCCTAGGATCAGCTCTCTTCTTTCTCTGTTTTGTGTGTCCCTTGCTAGTTCTAGTGGCAGTCACTAAGCTTTTAGTAGGTTCAGATTATCCTCACACAAAGCAGGCTCTTGTTCATAGCCCAGCATGGAAACTAGAATCCTAGGCTCTGAAAGGATATGGCCCTCAGATGTGAGGGGAAGGTCTCTTTGTGGTTAGTTCACCCAAGTCCTAGTTGATGAAGACTCCTTAATCTGATGTGGATTTGTCTGTCTGTGACTGTTAGGGACAGCCAGTTAGTAAAGGTTATCAGTGTCCCATTACTACACATTGGATTTGAAGGTAAGTAGAATTTATCCTTGGTTTAGTGAGAGTCCAAGTAGGTCTGCCCTGAAAAGGGAAATTTTATCTGTCTCTTGCAAGTGCATGGAAACTCACATTCCTCAGTGAACAGGTAAACCCAGGCCTCGGCAAACAACGAGGACATCAACTGTTGGGACTTGCTTTCCAGACCCCAGCCTACAAGCTCTTCAGTTCTTTGGGGTGCAAGTAGGGCACCCAGTGAAGCTTGGCTTTTGGGTAAACTATATTTGGAAGCAGGTCTCACCATGTAGCCCAAGCTGGCCTTGAACTTGTGATCTTCTTGGCTCAGTGTCCCAAGTGCTGGTATTGTAGGCGTGAGCTGCCATTCTCTGCTCACGAAATAGAATTTTTTAGTATAACTTTATCTCAATAATATATGAGACATTTTAAATTTTTTGATACATTTTTTAAAAATAACATTTTATTAAAATTTCCAGAATCTCGTACAATGTATTTTGATCATATTCCTTTTCCACCTCCTCCTAGACCCTCACTCCACTCTTACCTCCCTGCCCACCCAACTTTGAGTTCTCCTCCTCCTCTTCTAACTCTTCACCTATGGAGTATAGTTTGTGTTGCTCAGCTCCTCTTGGGAGTAGAATCTGCCCTGGTCAACCTGCCATAGGTCAACACCATTAACGATAGCTCTCCCGCAGCTATCGAATACCCCTCAGCTAGTGGTGGCCTTCGTCTGATTTGCGTAGGTCTTGTGCATTTGTCAGAATTTCTGTGAGTGTTTGGGTGCAATTGCCCTGTCACCTTGAAGTCAGACACTGCCTCTGACTCTTACAATCTTTCTGTCTCCTCGTCCTCGAAGATCCCAGAGCCTTGCAGCGAGGAGTGTGACATACAAGTCACATTTAGGGCTGAGCACTCCAAGGCCGAGGCATTTTTATAGGATAAAAATTACATTAGACACATGACAAAAATACTTGTTTATGTGAAATGCAAGTTTACCTAGTTTATTGGGCAACTTAAAAATGCATGGCTTCCCTGGGGTAGTGTTGGGAGTGGGGAAAAACAGAGGCCAGCAAGATCTCTCTCTCTCTCTCTCTCTCTCTCTCTCTCTCTCTCTCTCTCTCTCTCTCTCTCTCTCTCTCTCTCTGTTTTCCCTAAGGGGTAGAATGAAGTTTCTTTCATGCCAAATAAGCAATCACAGACATCCTGTTAGGAATCCAGACCCATGACTATCATGAGACTCAAGATCAAGAATGAAAAAAAAATTAGATTAATAGCCAAAGAAGCTGTCTTCACACACACACAGCCAGTCAGCACACAGAGGGCTGTCTCCTCAGGAAGGTAAGAGCACTTGTTTCTTTCAGAACAGGGCTTGGGGACTTCTCTGTTCCCCCTTAGGGCCTTCTTGAAGCTCAAGTGTCTAGAGTTTCTCCCTCCCCGTTTGTAATTGTCTTACTTCTGGAGTTCACAGTCTCTTAGATTCTCTCTCAGTCCTCCAAAGTTGCAAAGAATACTGATTCGTGTGTGTGTGTTTGGGGGGGGGTTGTTGCTGGTGACAGGAACTCCTTTACACTAGATGTAGTCTGTCACCCAAAAGGACTTCCACTGACTTGAGTGGGGTGAGGTACATTTGTTCTGTTACTGTTTGCAGATGCTCTGAGGTTAAGGAAGATGCATACAAAGAAACAATGCAGAATTAATAGAGTCTCTTATCTGTCAACATGGGCTTCACCCCTACACTACCCGCCTGATATGATCTGTGAGATAAACTGTAATCTCTTTTTTACACCCGGGAAGGGCAATTACACACAAAATGTCCCCTGTGGAGAGGTGACATACAGTAAAAAAGAAAGTCCTGATTTTGCTCCCCCATTCTCCCTGTTCTTCAAAATGGAGCTAATTAATGTTCCATGGGGATAGGCCTTTAACATGTATAAAAACTGTAAAAAGACACCCCACTATGATATCGAGGAGTGAAGCTTCCATTACTGCTTTTTAATGAGTTCACTTTAATTATGACCACTGTCGTTCATGAGGTTTTTGTTGGTATACTATATACACATTTTAGTGTTTTGTTTTGTTTTGTTTGTATGTGTGTGTGTTTGGGTTGGGTGTGGTACTTCCCTAAAGGTACTTGGGAAGTAGAGGTACACAGATCTTTATGAGTTTAAGGTCAGTGTAGTCTACATACTAAGTTCTGTGACAGCCAGGGTAGCACAGTGAGACTCTGTCTAATTTTTTTTTAATTCTTAGCTATGAGACCTGGATAGATAGAAATCGAATTGAATGATGAATGGGAGGAAAAACAAATTATTAGACAAAATGAGGCGCTGGCCTTCCTAGGTTTGTCTTGGGTGATGTGTACTTGGCTAAAAAGATCAGGTTCCCTTGTTGAAAAATGGGTTTGGAAGATGCTCTGTCACTAGTACATACATCTGGGAAACATCTCACTGAACATTGTAACCTTCTGTCTGGCCAGAGATAGACCACAGTGGTAATTTTGGAGAAAAATAATGCATCTCGGTTTGTTTTTGTTTTTTGAAACAGAGTTTCTCTGTGTAGCCCTGGTTGTCCTGGAATTAGCTTTGTAGACCAGGCTGGCCTCAAACTCATAGAGATCCTCTTGCTTCAGCTTCCTGAGTACTGGGATTGAAGGTGTACACAACTATTGTCTAGCTTCTTTTATTTATTTTAAAATGTATATCAGACAATGTACGTGTGTGTGTGTGTGTGTGTGTGTGTGTGTGTGTGCGCGCGCGTGTGTGTGTGTCACAGTGGACATGTGGGAGCTCAGAAGACAATGCCATGGAGTCATCTTTCACCTTAACCTGAGGTTCTGGAGGTCAGATGTTTGACAAATTTGTGTAGCAAACGTCTTTATACATGGACTCACCTCTCTAGTCCCTCCTCTTGTTCTAGTAACTGCTGTCCTAGGCCAGTAAAGCAAATAAAAGCCTCTTCCATTTTATCATAGAGTCCAACTGGAGGCCTGAGGGACACACTCCCCGATAACTCGTTTTTAAGGTGTTTTGTTTCATTAGTACTTTCTTCTTAGAACTTAAATTCCCACTTAGGCATCAGAAACCTAAGCTATTTCTAAAGCTCTTGGAATTAATGAGAGGAGGTAGGAATCCCCAAAGGGAGGACCCAGAGAGTGTTCTAGCTGACACATCCTGGGGACAATCTCCGTGTGTCTCTGTGGGACGTGTGAGGATGTTTTGGGTTCACTAAACAATGCCCATGTGCCCTTCCGTTAGGTGTCCTGTGCTCCTGAGTCCACACAATGCCACGAGAAGAGGCTCACTTCGGTTACCCCAGGAAGGGAGGCAGCCACTCTTATGTCACCACTGAGGAGTAAGTTAAAACCTTCTGGGTCTCCAGTTTGCCATCTGCAGACAAAGCCTGCTGACTCCACCCACACATGCCAACCACTGCCACCTGGGGAGGCCTCCCTGCCTTCTAATGGTCTGACTCACACCTCCCTGGATCCAAACGGATGGGAGATAGAATCGAGAAAATTAGATACTGCTATTTTTGTCTGCATTCTCCAGCCTTGGTTGTTGGTTTTCAAGTTGGGAAAAATCTGTCCAGGACCCAGACACGTCCTTCCTCAAGCTGTCCCGTCAGTTCCTCTCAGCACTGCTGCAGGAACATTGTAGACAGAATAGTGTTAAGTTGCTAAGAGCCAGTGTAGATGACCCGGGTGTGGGTCTCAGCCTGTGTGCAGACTCCTGGCTGAAGATGGTGGCCATGACTTTTGCTCCACAGTGCCATCCCACAGAAAGATGTCTGGGCTTCTGAGTTAATTAATAATAAGTATTTATGCGATTATTACTTCTAAGAACTAAGTACATGGTTCAGAGATACTGTTCTATATCTCTGAAAAAAGTCCAGAGTTCACTGGGGCGTTAGGCAGGAAGTAACTCTAGGAATGGGAAGGGTGTGGCAGGGAGGTCAACCTGAGCAGGGAGTCCAGCCAGGCTTTGATTTAGACCCCGTTTCTCAACCTTCCTAATGCTGTGACACTTTAATACAGTTCCTCGTGTAGTAGTGACTCCCAACCATAAAGTTATTTTCCTGCCAATTCATAACTGTAGTTTTGCTACTGTCATGAATCATAATATAACTATCTGGTTTGCAGGCTATCTGATATTCAATCCCTGTGAAAGGGTCTTTAGACCTGGGGGTAGATTTAGGCCCCCTTTATGCCATTTATTCAGATCTGCTCCCCTTGTAGAAAGAGTTTCTGGAAAACCTCACATAGTGCTAGACAGCAAACAAGGTACAGATTCCATCAATGGAGTCAAGCTGGGAGCATCTCCCAGGGGATTTTTCCATATCATAGCATGGCCAGTAGGGAGATATGGGTAGTGGTACATTTTAGCAAACTGTCTCAGCAAGATACTCTTTAGGCGGGGAGATACACTGCATATGGTATTGGTTTGTCATCTTTAGGATGACTCCACTTAAGCTATGTTCTTCTTACACTAGGATTTTTTCTCTCTCATTTAGTAGTGCAGGAGTCCTAGCCCCTCAGTTCCCTTCTTCCTTGCTGTCACCCTGGGCATTGCCGCTGAGTGAAGATGGTGGGCCATCACCTTTGGGTTTCCCCAACAGAAACTGAGAAGCCAAGGGAAGGCTGGGCCATTATTGTCCATTAGCACTCAGGCCCTCTCTCTGCGCCCCACATCACGACGCCCCCGTCTGCCTGCTGTGTTGTTGCATGTGGTAAAAGGCTCAGAGAAACTGGGAGATGTGCAGCAGGATGTGGTGATGTTGGGATTTAAGCGCAGCTCTGTTTGCCCCTGAAGCACTAAGCTGGCGGGCTAACAAGGCAAGTGTGTGCATACTCCGTTCAAAGGGAGGAGAGGCCAGAGACCAGCGAACTGCCAAGCCGGAAGCCTTGGTGGTGTGTAGCCATCGCTTCCAGCTGGGGGGGGGGGGAAGCTGGGGCGGAGGGGGGGGGCTGGACGGTGGGGGGCTGGGGGCCCACAGCCAATGCAAAATTTCATGTCACCTTCAGTATGAGGAACTGGTTAAGCAGGCGGGGGCCTTGAGGTGACAAAGGCACAGAAGTAACACGGGCAGCAAAACCACAGGCTGCTGCTTACGTCCCTGTGCTTATGTCCCCGGGGCTGAGGAACAAATGGAAAAGCAGGGGTCATCGAAACCTAAAATGGAGGGAGAGACCCCACAGAATGGGGCCCACATGACCGAAGGGGGATTTCTGTCGGCTGGTTACTGTGTGCTCCGGCCTCTGGCCAGTTCTGCGAGTGGCCGGGAAAGAGCTGGCAACTGAGCTGACTGGCAGTGTGAAGAGGGCTTATGGGTGATGCTGAACAGAGCAGGAAACAGATGGGACTCTTTTGGGCCACTGCCGGGGCCGTGGGCAAAGCGGAAGTAGGGTTTGCTGGGTTCAGTGCCAGCATCCCAGAGCAGGGAATAGACAGGTGGGTTTGGAGTGGGGGACAACAGCGTGGGAAGGACACCTGTGAGTTATTAGCCTCGTGTTAAGTAACCCCTTCACCGAAGGCTCATCCCTTCTCACATCCCGAGCAAAGTGCTTATGCAGTGAGTGTCAGGAGAGAACAGAGAGGTCGCAGGTTCCAGCACAGAAGAAAAACAGCCACTCACTCTGCATATGTGGGTGCCATCATGTCCACTGACATCACCTGAGGCCCCAGCACAGCGCAGTGACACTTCTAACCTCAGTCCTTGAAGGAAGCAACCTTGAGTACCTGAAACACCACGGTACATGATTTTGTGCAGGGTAGTGAAAGAGACCCGCGAAGAACACAAGAAAATCACTGCACAAGGCCGCCAGTCTCAGGACCTCACCCATCGGGCCACCTGTTCAAACTGGAGGGTGGGACACTGGGAAGCAGAGGCATCTGTGCTGGAGCAATTCGTCTCTGAGAGCCTCAGAGGATATTGCTCTTCCTTTAAAGTTTGCCAGTGGTACAGAGAGGAAGAATGGTGTGCAGTGAGCTCCCATAGCCAGTCAAAAAGGGTTACCCACCTGCTGACAGTGAGCTCCCTCTGAAGCCACAGTAGACAGGGGTCCCTACACACTCGAGTGGGAATAAACCATCCAGGGAACTAGCCTAAATGCAGATTCCTAGGAGCTGCCTCTACAAAGACTCAGTTTAGGCCAGACGTGGGGCCCCAGGATCTGCACTTTAATTACGCCTCGGGTGACTGCTGCCAGTGTCTGGTCACTGAGGGGCCCTGCTTCCTCAGTGGCTTTCTCTGGCGTGTCTGGTATTCTTTGATGTTTTACACTTTCAGTCCCTCATGTGTGCATTCTAAGAACAGCGTGACTGTGCACTGAGAGCTGGGACAGAGCTCTGTCTGTGTCAAGACACTCGAAGGCAGAGCGGAGGGTGAAGTTGGAGCACAAGCCTGCTGGGAATTGTGTCAGCTGCCTTCGAACATAAGAGCCCTCGAACACTCCTTGAGACAGCGTCATCTTAGATGGAGTTTTATCCCCCAGGAGAGTACTGGGCAGTGGACTCGAGCCTGAGTCCTAGAGCGTCCTTGAAGGCTGTCTGGTACCACTCACTCTGCTGGTCCTGCCATGCTCTGGCTGTGCAGTCTTGAGCATTTTGACAGCCTAATGTCGGCCGCAAATGCACTATGTCTAGGTCAGAGGATTGCTGTGAAGATAAAATGAAACGTGGGGTTGGGTGGCACAGTGCCTGGCACAAAAATGGCATTAGAGGATGTTCCGGGAACTGGGTGTTTGGGTCATGCAGTTGGTAGCTCTCCATGTGGCCTACACGACTAGGGCAGAGCTTCCCTCTGGTACAGCCTTCTCCCAGGTCTCTCCATCCCATCTAGAGTTGGACAGGACAAACTTGATGCCTTGGCAGCCTTGAGAGGAAGGTGGGTGGTAATGGCAAAACTCCCTCCTTCTCACCCTGGACCCCGCTGTAGCTAGTGCTAATCCTCCAGCCCGGCTGAGCATTTCTTAGCAAGTTCAGTCTCGGACAGAGTCCGGTCCTCAGTGTGGACCATGCGGAGTATCAGGCAGATGCCAGCTGACTGGCAGTGGCATGCAGGAACACACACACCCCTGTTCCAGGGGCCTTTGCAGCAACTGCAATGCTTCCCAGGGAACTCTGGACACAGGACACAGCAGCTGACTGAGAGCCCCAGAACAGCACCCTGATGCTCAGGACCAGACACACAGATAAGTGACAGCAGCACAATGCACTAGGTTTAGCTCAGACTCTCCTCCCGGGGCCACAGGAGCCACAGCAGAGTATGGGGCAGGGGTGGCCTCAGGCTCTGACTGTGCCTAGTGATAGCTCTGGATGGCAAGTCACTGGTCCTCTGAACTTATTTCTTCCTCAGTGGAGATAATGATAGGTTCCTTGCTGCAGAGTCACGACAGCGGCTCATAGTCAGTGTTCATTTCTACTTCCTTTTTCTGGATCAAGTTGGAAAAGTTGCTTTATAAGAGCTGTGTTGAGAAGAAAAGGCTGTCCCCATAAGGGCCAGGTGCTGGGGCATCCCTTATGCGTGGGACTTGGGTGCTGCACATGTAAAGACTCCTAAACTAGGCCCTGTCCTTAACTACTGGAGCTGGGAGTCTGGTTGGGTGCCCTGCATGGAAAATGGCAAACTATTTGGAGACTGGGAGATACTTTTCTGAACCATGAAAAGGGAGAAGGTTGGTTGTTTCATTGCTGTCTAGAACGATGCTTCTGAGCTGTGTTAGACATGTCTATCTCTTGGTCCAGGGCCTTGGGGATTGGCATTCTGATTGTGGTCCTGGGAATTGCTCTGCTCATCGGCTGTTGGTACTGTAGAAGACGAAGTGGATACCGAACCTTGAGGGTAATGTTCCCTGCAGGGTCCCATTCTTCCTCTGAACCTCCAGCAATGAGCATGCATGTGCGTGCACGCATGTGCACATTCCGTGGCATGGGTGTGGAGGCTAGAAGACAACTTTTTGGGGAGTTGTTTTCTCCTTCCACCATGTGGGGCTTGGGAGCAAACTCAGCTTGTCAGCCTGGCAAACATGCTTCTCTGCCGTGCTGTATCCTAGCCGAATTCCAAGGTCTTCTGTCCTACTGACTCTGTCGTGATATCCAAGGTCCTGAGGATCACACCAGCATGAGAAAACCATCCTCCCACGGTATCAGGATGCACCACCGGATAGTCTTCCCTCAGCCATTGATCGTCTGTCTATTGGTCCTTAAAGAGCATGTGCAAACTTGTCATAATACTAACATTAGAAGGAGGCCTTAAAAACCTGAACATTTGTGTAGGTTCCAAAATGAAGTTTGGGCATTTTGGGGTCAGCAAGGCACAGCAAGATAGGAAAATTTAAATGTGATCTCAAAGGAAAACCAAGTGCTACATAGTAAAAACATCTTTAAAAATAAAAGCCACTGATGGGAGAGATGGCTCAGTGGTTAAAAGCCCCGCTGCTCTTCCAGAGGACCTAGGTTTGGTTCCCAGCACCCATATGGTGGCCCATAGCCCTCTGTAACTGCACTCCCTGGGGATCTGGCCTCTGCAGGAACCAGGAATGCACGTGGTGGAGCGCAAACATACATTTTGACAAGACACACACAGACATAAAGTAAATAAATAAAATAAAAATGAAAACCACTAGCTAGGGATGGTGGCGCCTATATGTAATTTACGCACTAAGGAGGACTGAGGCAGGGGAGCAGGGTTCAGGTCACCACAGGCTACCAGGAATAATCTGTTAAAAATAATAAAGCACAAAAAAAAAGAAAATGTAAAAAAGCCGGGCATTGGTGGCGCACACCTTTAATCCCAGCACTCGGGAGGCAGAGGCAGGCGGATCTCTGTGAGTTCGAGGCCAGGCTGGACTGACAGCCTCCAAAACAATACAGAGAAACCCTGTCTCGTAAAACCAAAAAAAAAAAAGCACACCTCCTAATCACATCACTTCAACATTAGATTGTCATAGAGTCATCAAAATACATTGTCATAGAAACAGCCATAGTATAATAAAAACAGCACTGAACTCAGGTGGGAACCCTCTGTGATTCTGACCCATACTTCTCAAGGCTGCAGAAAAGCTTCTGTCTGTCATCTCCAGAGGGAGGGAGACCCTAACAAAACCCTACCATTACCAGCTCCATACAGCTCGAGCTCCCTAGAAGGCATTTGAACCCTGAGTTCCAGCTCCTGAGCCCATGTTGCCTCCCTGGAATGTCCATGCCTCTAGTCCCTAGACTTAGATCATACACACATTTCTTTTCTCCTTCCTTCCTTCCTTCCTTCCTTCCTTCCTTCCTTCCTTCCTTCCTTCCTTCCTCCCTTCCTTCCTTCCTTTCTTCCTTCCTTCCTCCATTTTCTCCTCCCTCCCTCCCTCCTTCCCTTCCTCTCTCCCTTTTTCTTTCTACAGGACTTCTCTATGTATCAGCCTTGGCTGTCCTGGAACTCACTTGTAGACCAGGCTGGCCTTGAACTCACAGAGATCCGCCTGCCTCTGCCTCCCGAGTGCTGGGATTAAAGGCGTGCGCCACCAACGCCCGGCTTGAAAGTTCTTTTTTAAGAAACCAGGTGGCATCTGTGTCTCTCTTTCCCTAATTGCCTTTTTTTAGCTGAGGGTCCAGGATGTAAACCACACAGGCAGGGCACATTGGGACCCACACATCACCAAACAGTCCTCGGGTGAGTTCACACTGAAGTGTGGACAAGAAGACTACAAACTAACTGCAGGAAAACCCGAGACTGCCCTAAGCCCAGAACTCTTGCCCATGGGATACTGCCACTGTCCATGCTGAGAAGGGGAGGGGCTTCCCTCTCCACCGCCTCACTCCACCTGTATACCCCTGGCACGAGTGATGACACTACCTTTATTGTTTGGTTCTCTCACTTAACAGTCACATAAAAGTCTCTTGGTTGTAGAGAATCACGATTTGGCTTTATTACCCATCACTGACTTGCTTGGTAACCTTAGATATTAATTTTTCCAAACCTCATTGTCTCTACAGCTAGTCATGACAAAAAAGTGACAGAAAACAATGTTTATTAGTTTTTACTTAACACATTTTCATCTTTTATATTTATTTTATCTTAAATTATATGTTTGTGTGTGTATATACCTATGCGTTGGTATAATCTCGGGAATAGGTTAAGTTATATCTTCTTATATTTAGATTTGGTGTGTGTTGGTATGTGTCCACAGAGGCCAGAAGCAGGCCTCCCTGGGGTTATGAGCCACCAAATGTAGGTACAGGGAATTGAATGTAGGCCCTTTACAAGAGTAGTAAATGCTTCTAATGGCATTCGTCTCTCTAGCCCTCCCCATCTCTGTCTCATCTATCTTGATGTGTATGAGTGTTTGCATACATGGATGAAAGAGCACCACATGCATACAGTACCCACAGAGGCCAGAAGGAGGCGTTGGTTTCCCTGGAACTGGAGTGACAGATGGTAGTGAGCCATGATGCCGGTGCTGGGAACAGAACCCAGGTCCTTTGTAAGAAAAGCAAATGCCTTTAACCACTAAGCCATCTCTCTAGCCCTATCTCCTTTTTTCCCACAAATTGTTCATTTTATAGATTCAGTCTTCCCCTTCTCTTCAAAACTTCCCCGTAAGGGACAGCTGGTGCCAGGCACTGCCTTGGCACTGTCTGTGGTTAGTTCCAAGAACTCTGAGAAGTGGGTTTAACCATCTTGCTACTCCAGATCTAACAACTGGAATTCACAGAGGTAAAGGGAGTGACCTGAGGAATCACAGCAAGTAAGTGACAGCAACTAGCTTAAAGCCCATTTCTAAAATGTTGTTTCCTTTCTCTTTTCTTTAACGGACTCGGTTCTCATTGGTTTCTGTTTGTTTTTTGTTTTTATGGCTATATTTCAGGACAAACGGCTTCATGCAGGTACCCGGAGTACCCTGAAGGAAAGATGCCCTGGTGAGCAATGCTCATGTGATGGTCTTGGTCATCAGGACAGCCGACTGCCTTTTCAAGAAACAATCCATCAGCCTGTGGTAGGTGGAGACTGTGCATCTGGGCATTTTCATGTCAGCTGCTTTCAGCTCCAGTTAACAAAGTGATTTCCACTGAAATAGCAACACCAACATACTTAATGCCACTAAACTCTCAATAATGGTCAAAAGTAGGGCTGGGATTATAGCTCAGTGGTATTGAACTTGCTTTGCATGCAGGAGGGCCTAGATTCAATCCACACAACTGCCCCTTCTTCATAAAGGTAAAATGGTAATTGTTGTTTTTCATATTTTATAATAAAAGCAAACAAAATGGGAAATAGGTTTTGTTAAGGTTTTTTTTTTTTTTGAGACATGGTTTCTCTGTGGCTTTGGAGGCTGTCCTGGAACTAGCTCTTGTAGACCAGGCTGGTCTCAAACTCACAGAGATCTGCCTGCCTCTGCCTCCCAAGTGCTGGTATTAAGGGTGTGCCCCACCAATGTCCGGCGTAAGTTGTATCTTCTTATATTTACATTTTACATTCAATAATGAGAGCCCTACATGTAAGAGTCCCAGGGATATTTTCTTCTCTAGAACTGAGCCACTACCATGTGTTAAAAACTTGAAACATAGTAGTTTGAAAGTAGTTTTGTAGCATACATTTCAGAGACAGAATACATGAAAAAAATAGCCATTTCTGACTTCTTTTATTGATTTCATGTTGAAATGACTGTATTTTGACCCAAGTTAAGTATTTTATCTAATTTACCTGCTTTCTGAAGGTGAAGTTACTAGGAGTTTAAGCTCTGCATGTGTCTCACAGCATTTCTGCTCTATAGTAGTGGCCCAGTAGTTAAGCATAGCAAAGTAATGGACTTTGACTCTCAAGTCAGGTAACAGTGTTTGATTCTTAGCTGCATGACTTACTGTTTGTGACTTAGGGCAAGCAACATTTCTGAGTCTCATTTTCACTTGATAACATCTAGAACTGTGAGCATTAACTGAATGATTGACACATTTGTGTTGGTTGATAGATATATGTTGTCTCTCCAACCTCCGTGGTGTTGTCTTTGAATGATGCCTATCACTGAGCTGCCCTTTCCCCGGCCCCAGCCCTAAATACACCTTTAGGCACAACTAACAGGGAACTATGTGGTAAATATGCAGGGTTTGTTGAGTGATGCTCAGGATTCAAGAATACATGGGCGAGTGAGTTGTTTCAGTGGGCACCTGCTATCAAACCTGAACCTTTGAGTTTGATCCCTGGGACCTACCTGGTAATGAAAGAGAACCAATTCCCCCAAACTATTCTCTATCATCCACATGTGCGCTGTGGCGCAGGTGCTGCCCCATAAACAAAGTAAGCAAATAAATAAAAGTAACAAATGAGAAAGGAATTCTTTAGTTAGGGCTTGGGAATTCTGACATGGATAACCTAGGCACAAATCCACTTTTAGATATTCGGAAAGCCTCCCATTTCTTGTCCCTTCCCGCCAATGTTTCAAATATGCGCTGTGATATTTAACAATTACTCCATCGGACAAGAAATATGTATGAAGCCCTCCCTCCCCACAGCATGCACACTGCTGTCAGGCTCACTCACCCTGCTCATTCTCACAGGTTCCCAATGCTCCACTTGCTTACGAGAAGATCTCTTCGGCCCAGTCGCCACCACCGTACTCAACCTGAGCACCAGCAAGCGGCGGCTGAGAATGCCGAGATGATTCCCCTCCCACTTTTGCTTTAAGGCTGGTAGACACCCATGTTTTTCTTTAGAATGCTACATAATGTGCAAATCTACTAACAGGCCAGTGCTGAATTCTTGCTAGGGCAACCAGAGGAACACTGAGGAATGGTGAGAAATTGGAATCTGGGAAATGCTTCAATAAATACTTTAATGCATGTTATCTGTCCTGGAAGTAATGCTATTAAGGAAGTCATCATCGCTGAGGGGTAAACTTACATGGGTGATGTGGGAGCATCTGATTCCTTTGTGAAAATATTTTTTTTACTTTCTTTTTATCTTTGTGTCTTTCATAGCATGCATCTTGAACCCATTATTTCCCCGCCCCTTGTATCCGCCTATGCCCTTGCAAGCCTTTCCCCCAATACAAGGAAATAAATTCTTTTTTTTTTTTTTTTTGAGCTAGGGTTTCTCTGTGGCTTTGGAGGCTATCCTGGAACTAGCTCTTGTAGACCAGGCTGGTCTCGAACTTACAGAGATCCACCTGCCTCCTGAGTGCTGAGATTAAAGGCGTATGCCACCACCGCCCGGCATATAAAATGTAAGAGAAAAAAAAAGCCTCACTGTGGAAGCTGTAGCGTGACAGTGAGTCACGCAGTAAACCCTTTTATCCATATATCTTTACTTGCAAGAGTTTATTGCAAAAAGCCATTGGTCCGAGGCCTCTGGTTTCTGCTGCACTATCAATACTAGGGCCCCACTAGGACCCCTCTTGGATACCCTGTAGTTACCCTGTGTCGTGGAGATGCTGCAGCTTTGGATCTGCAGGACTGAGCCCTTCATGTGTTCCAGCAGATAATAGATGGGGTGGATATTGGGGTGGGCCAACTCATAACCCTAGTTCTGGGCCTGGGTAGTTGCAGGGCTGCTCAGCCTGCCTGCTCTCCCCATCCTCACCACCAGGGTGAGCTCTCCAGCATTGCTCCGGCTAGTTCACCCTCCTGGTAAGGAGCAAGGCAGACTCTCCACCCACACCATCAGGGCCACATCTGCTGTGTGGCCCAGATGAGGTGCAGAGGCCACTCTCCTAGGCGCTACAATTGGTGAGGGGCAGGCACAGCTCACCTGCACTTATGGCCTCAGGAGAAGCTGTCCCACCTGCCACAGGTGGCAAGGGGCGGGGGCGGGGAGACGGAATCTCTCTCTCCGGCCCACGCCCCCATATGGCAGATGAGGGGTGGGGCCTGATCTCTCCTGCTCAAATTCTCCGCTGGTTCACCGGCTCCCCCAACCAATAGGGTCAGCTCTGTGACGCCCAGGTGAGGTGCAGCTGTGAGGAGGAGGGTCAGCTCCCTCATCCACCACACGTGGCAGGGGGAAAGGGTATTTTTCCCTCACCCTCACCACCCTATGGCACACAAGGGCGCCACCTCCTCTCCCATCCTTCAGGGCCAGCTCACCCATGCTCTCTCTCCCCTCCCAAGGGTCAGCTCTATTGTGCAGCCCCTTCCCAGCTGAGGCACTCTCTCCTGAGTGCTTCCGTTGGTGAGGGGAAGGGCCAGCTCTCCCTAGAGTTTGCAGCCAACGAGGGCTGCACTCTGTGCAGCCCTATCTTCTCAGCCTTTGGTGGTATCAGGAGTCATGGACATTAACAGAGACTGTGGCTGCATCAGAACCACGAACCCAGGCATGGTCCCCAGCAGCAGCCCAGGCCCGGATATCACCCTGGGTGACAATCAAGCCATCCGTGTCAGCCCACTTCTCGCCTCTTCAGACATGCCTCTCCACAGGACACGAACCATTCTCTCTCCCTCCCATACCACACCATACATTTGCTCACCATAGTAAAGAGTGCCTGACTGCCTGGTGCCACAATGAACACTTGCAAGTCAAGACGTATGGATAAAAGGGTTTACTGCGTGACTCCTTCCATGTCCCTCCCCCACTCTTGCTCAAATTCATGACCTCTTTTTTTTCTGTAATTATCCTTACACTTGTAAACATATACATGTTTACATGTATGTGTGTGTATACAATATACATAAAATCTATGGAGTCCACTTAGTGTTGCTAAGAGCCTGTATCTTAAACTATACATATTAAATAGTCCTAATTGTATTTTACTTCAACACTCATAATGGTAAACTAGTTTTCTGTTAAGGTTGAAAGTGGTGCAAGGATTTAAAAAAGAAAAGCAGCTTTAGTTTGGTTGATGTCTGCAGTGTCTTGTGTCCTCATGACAATTAAAAGCAGGGTTTGTTGTTTCTGCCACCGCACGGCATGCTCTAGGCTAGCTCAACTGCAAGCTTCCCGTCAGCCGTCTCTACCTCCCATCTCTCTGTGGGAATACTGGGATTACAGATGCACACTACCACAGCTGGCTTTTTATGAGGGCTCAGGGATCAAACTCAGGTCATCAGGCCATCTCCCTGATGACCTTTACTTTTGTTGAGTTCTCAGTCTTACAAGAACATACAGGATAAATACAGAGTGAATAAATACAAATGGCCACAGACTCTTCAGTGGTACTATTCACATGGTGTGACTGCATCAATTACCTAGTATCTCTTGGTTAGCTCATTACGGAGTGAGACAAGGTTGCATATAGCTTGTAACCAGGCTGGTACTGTTGCCTCCACATTCAAGTGCTGGGACCTCAGGCTGCCCAGGTAGTGCTGGGAACTGCTTTGAACTTTGTGCACACTAGGCAAGTACTCTACCACCTGATTTATATCCCTAGTCTATTATGAAACAATACTTGGGCCTTTTTTTTTTTTTTTTTTTTTTGGTTTTTTTGAGACAGGGTTTCTCTGTAGGTTTGGAGGCTGTCCCGGAACTCTCTTTGAAGACCAGGCTGGCCTCAAACTCACAGAGATCCACCTGCCCCTGCCTCCCCGAGTGCTGGGATTAACGGTGTGCGTCACCACCGCCCCACCCTTTTAGAGATCATCTAGCTGGCTTCTCCCCCTTTGCCAGAACTCAGGCTATCCTCATGTGACCCTCCACAATAAAGAACTGACAGGTGATTGCATTCAGGCTTCAGTGGAGAAGCAAGCCCATCTCTTCCTCTTGCAACTCCAAGATAAACTCTTGATCCTACCCAGTGACAGTGCCCCTCAGTACTTATCTAACCCAGGCTAAGTCACATGGTGTAGAACTTGTCACCTACCCGATCTCAGAAACCTCCTCTATCCTGGGGATCCTGTACATGATCTCCCAATGAAGTTCCTCTTCAGATCTCAAAGCCTGCTCTCTTCCTGTGCTAGATAGTTTGTCAACTTAACACAAGCTAAGTCATCTGAGAGGAGGAAACATCAACTGGGAAAATGCCTTCAGAAGACTGGGCCGTAGGCAAGTCCGTAAGGCGTTTTTAAGTCAGTGATTGATGGGGAGAGCCCAGCCTACCTTGGTTGCTGCGGTCCCTTAGCTGGTGGTCCTGGTTCTACAAGAAAGCAGGCTGAGCTTTCTTTGTTAGAGACATTACTAAGACTCACAGAAATCCCAATGCTTGTTTAAAGAAATGTCTTTTTCACTATGTGATTCTTTCTTATTTAATGTGTCAATAAATCACCTAAGATACCTTTGTCACTAGAGACAGAAGCGTAACATCAACAGGACAAAGATTAAAGCGATAAACACACACACAGAAATGACATTCAATGACACTAAAAATATCTATGCCTTTCCTGACTTATGTCCTATCACTTAAAATAGCCCCATTCTCCTTTCAAATACATTCATTTTGCCACCCCCATCCCTGCTTCACAAGATCTTTGAACCTCATTCACATCTTCAGAGGGACCTCGGGCTTGATCTCCAGGCCTCTCCGAGCCTCCCATGCTGTTAAGACACTGACAAATCTCTTTTCCACCAGGAAAGCTTCTCAAGTGTTCTTCATTCAGTGTCCTGGATGACAGACAACAGGCTTGACCTGAGTCCATGAGAGAGAAATCAGTGTTGCTGAAAGGAATAGGAGGTATAAAATTCAGCCCTACTTCTGAAGATCACTGCTTGGACTCACAGTCAACTGCAGGCAACCTTGGGAGCCTTTTGCTAAAGACAGAAGTGCCACACGGAGCTACCACACCGAGAATGCTCACACTGAACAAGGAAACAGTTTCACAGAAAATCCAAGAATGCTAGGACACAGCTTTCTGACACTAACAACCATTAGCACTATATGCTGAGGCTCTGAATTTGGCGCTTCAAGGCCTTTGCTGCCTGGGCTGAAAAAGCAAGTGTCATCACTGTAGGATTGGGTACTAACTGATGGAAAACAACCTAGATTCAGTTCCCACGGCAATGTGCTCACTTACAGGCAGAGAAGGGTTCAGGGTACTGTGCTGCTTGTTTTCTGAGAGCCAGGTGGGGACTAGAGGGGCCAGAACTCATGGCTAGTTCCCTCTGACTAGGAATAGTCCTTTCCATTTAGCCAAATATTGTGAACAAGTAACATTATCTTCTCTATGAAGTGAGCTGAACGAAGTTCAGTCGCTTGACACATCAAAATCTCTTAATCTCAAGTGATGGCAAAAACTTCTTAAATGTAGCCTAGGAGGGTGGTGGCGGCGCACACCTTTAATCCCAGCACTTGGTAGGCAGAGACTGGCAGATCTTTGGCAGTTTGAGGTGAAACTTGGTCTACTGAGTGAGTTCCAGGACAGCCTCCAAAAGGTACAGAGAAACCCTGTCTCGAAAAACCAAAATAAAAAAAACAACCAAAAATGTGTCATAAGAACTTTAGATAGAAATCACCATTTCTAAGAAAACCCAAAACTGTGAGTGAAAAACACAGCATGGGAAATTGAAATAAAATTGAACAACATAAGGGCGCAAATTAGAGACTGTGAAGGTCAGTCTGAGAAAACTTCTGAAACTGAAGATGGAGTCAGGCTGCTTTTTATTTTTTAGAGACAAGCTTCATGCACCTCCGTTGCATTCATCTAAATGAGACACACACACACACACACACACACACCATTTTTGGTGCATTGGTGTTGTGAGGTGTCACATGGCAGTTGTGAGCTGTCATGTGAGTGTTTGGAACTGAACCCAGGTCCTCTGTAAGAGAAGCTAGTGCTTTTAACCACTGAGCCAACTCTCCAGCCCCTACGATACATTTTAAACATCACCCACAGCACATCTCTTGAGAACAAAGTTTTGTTTTTAAAATACTGATAGAGAAATGGGGAAGAGGAGGAGCTGGTGATTGAGTAGACCGGAGGCACACTGGTCAAGGCACTGTCTTACAGCATGGATACATATTTTGAGACAGTGAGAGTAGTGGTGTATGTCTGTAGTTATTGCATTGAGGTAGTATAGATGACGGGTTTGGGGCTAGCTTAACCTACACTGACAGAAACAGTTCCATTTTCCCTTCCGTACCAAAATAATCTCTTCTCTTCCAACCCTCTCCTCTCGTCTCTCGCTGCCCCCCCCCACGACTTTTGTGGTGCTAGGGGTAGAACTCATGACCTTGTACAAATTAGGCAAACATACTACCCAACAGTTAGGTCATCAGTATAAAACAATTGTTTGAGAAATCTGAAAACATTTTAGGAACACCCATTATTCTTTCCACTTTAATTACATCATTTTGATACAATCTGAATGGAAATCTTTGGCCTCTTCTTCTTCTCTTCTATTTATGAATGTGGGTATGTATGTTGTGTGGGTACCTATAGAGGCCAGAGGAGGAGGGTACTGGATCCCCTGGAGCTAGAGTTACAGGCAGTTGTGAGCTGTCAGGTATGGGTAGTACAAGTGAAGCCAGGTTCTCTGGAAGAGCAAGTGCTCTCAACCACTGAGCATCTGTTTAGCTTTTTTTTTTAATGAAAAATATCTTAAGATAGTATTTAGTGTGTGTGTGTGTGTGAGTTCAGGCCTGTTTTTTCCTTTGATCATGTGGGACACGGGGACTGAAATCAGGTCTTCTGGTTTGGTTGCAAACATCCTTACAGGCTAAGATATTTCACAGGCCTACTCTCTCTAACATTTTAAATTTTAAACAGAACACTGTGATGAGTTGAATGTGTGTATCAGTATCTTAACAAGATAATAAGATACTAAAGCCCCAGTGAGTAAAAAGCTACCTTTATTTATAATGAGGCACACTCTCAAGCTCTACAAAGTCAAGCCCTGAGTCAAACCAACTGAGCAACAGAGTTGGTTTCACATCACAATTTATGCAGCTGCTCTATAATCTGAGTAAAAGGAGAGCACTAATATTTTTGCTCACTTTTAATTTCAAAAGACAAAGACATTGATGTACTTAAACATAGTTTTGGAAGATCAGTAACAATGAACCAAGACCTCAAACAGAAATGTGGAGAAGGAGGGGAAGGGGAATGCCACCACTCTGCATTACTTTTGCAACCTCTTTTTTTTTTTTTTTGGTTTTTCATTTGAGACAGGGTTTCTCTGTATTGTTTGGAGGCTGTCCTGGAACTCACTCTGTAGACCAGGTTTTTGCAACCTCTTATGAACCCAGATTTTTACAAAGTAAGTCTCACCAGGCATGGCAGTCCTTGTCTATAATCCTGGTACACTCAGGAGGCTGAGGCAAGGCCAGCCTTGGCTATATGGAAAGTTCCAGGACTGTTTATGGTTATACAGAAACCTAAAAAAAAGTTTTAAGAGTTTTGAGAAACAATTCTGGATGTATTGACATAAACCAAATATTCTTTTCTGAAAACAACACATTTGTTCTGCTCAATACAGAATTTGGTGCTTTTTTTTTTTAAGTGTCTAGGACCATAAACTTTTGAATGAAAACTTCAAAAGTAAAGCACAACCACGGAGAGAGTGTGAAGCAGCAGACTCACACCCTGGCTCCATCCCCATGAACCAGGTGCCACTCAACCCCCAAGATTACTGTAGAAATCAAATGTCAAGTGTAAAGACCGTGCAAGCGTCATTATTTCTACATACTTGCCAATTTTAACACCTTTTTCATTATATCATGTATTCTTCCAATGGACAAGAACACATTTTAAAAATGGTATTCAAACAAAGAAATACAGCAACTCAGTTTTATTATATGCAGATTCTTCTGCATTGTTGCTAACAGTTCACTGGTCCAAAATTACTAAAATACTTAAAAAACTATACATTATGTAAACAAAACATAAATAAGACAGTATTGTTCTTTGTACATATATTTAGTACAGATTATGAGGGACTTAAGGAATATGTACAATTTTACACCATGAACTGCATTTTCTTAATGCATAAATATATATATAATTTTCTTTTTACAGAAACAAAAATAAGATTTCACTAATGACACAGAATACTATACTGTAGATATACCACAACAGTCCAAATTTAAGAAGAAACATCAATATAATTATGAAAAGGCTAGCTTACTTAAACTAGTCAAACTTGACTTTGTTCAATTTATGTTATACAGACAGGTAAATGTTGATGACACAGTTTGAACAAAGAACCTTGGAAAAACATCCTCACACCAATGAGTGAAATGGTTTACTTTGCCCTCCCCAAGAAAACAAAGTCTTGTGCAAGGTAATGAAGATACATACATACATACATACACATACTACACACATATACGCGCGCGCGCGCGCGAGCACACACACACACACAGACACGCAGACACACGTATGAACAGTATGTTTTCAACAGTATAATAAACAGTTAAAATTTTTATGGGAGTTAAAACAATGCCCCATTACTTAAAAACTGGCTCATTTAGTCTAAATTCAAGATGCAGCTTTGTCAGGTTTCTCTGAACCAGATGATTGAAAAGCAGGGAAGGCAGAGGCAGGACTCTGACTCACAGATACAACAACTTGAGGAAGAGATGAAGACAATGAGGATACCTTAGATGCTGGAGTATTTATGGTATTTAAAATGGCTCCTTCTGGACTAACCAATAACTTTTTGACAGAGGTATCCAAATGAAATACCGATGTGCTACTTGGCAGTGGAGGATTATTGGAGGAAATGGCAGAAACCAAAGATGTCTTTGTCAAAAGAGTAGCTGGAGAGGACTTAATCACCGAAGTCAATGGCACCGTTGGTGCAGGTGGAACATAAACTTTAGCAGGTGTGTTTACCATCTGTGGTACTGAATGACTTCCAAGACAGTTTACAATCTTTGTAGAGTTTCTCACAGAATGCTTTAAAGGTTGACCACTTAGAGAATGATTTGATGTCTGTATGATCTTCTGGACAGGATTATCTACTGGTGTCGCTGGTACACCTTGGGCATTGTTAAGAACTAAGGGAGGTCCATATTTTGGATTAGTAGAGATAAGGAGGACGTGGCTACCTGCTCCAAGACCTTGTGGTGGAACAATAAACCGAGCTCCATTCATCATGATTTGAGTACCTGGTGCCAAAGGTGTACTGGTATTGATAACTATTTTTTGCTGAATACAAGGTTCACTGAATGAAGCACCTGCCAGACTAGTTATATTTAATGGCGGTGTGTAAGTGTGAATGGCAGAGCCACCTGCAATAGAATTGTTACCAGAAGTTGTTTTTACTAATGAAGGGGACATAAGTTGGTTTGGTATAGAAGTAACATTGGAAGTATTAATTATTTTACCTGGACTTGGTGAGAGAGATGATAATTCAGCTTGAGGTTTACTTGTGTTTGCATTTGCTGGCACTGTAGTTGAAGTCCCTGGCGACTGAAACTGGAGAGAAGTCCGAGACTGTCTTTTGGAAAGAGATACAGCGTGTGTGGCTCCTGGTACTGTTGCTGAATGTGTAACTGTGTTGATTATTTTTGGAGATGTAGTCACAGGTGTAGGCAGGGAAACAGTAACAGGGATTTGCAAAGCTGATGTCAAACATTTAGGAGACACTGTTGGTTGTGTAGTTGAAATGAGAACAGATGATGCAAGGTGCCCTGTTTTCACAGTTGATATAGCTACAGTGTTTCCAAGATTTGATGTGCAAAGTCTATTTGACAAAACAGGCATAATTCTTGAAGAGGTGTCAGTTCCACTGACTAAAACAGGAGGTCGAGTCCCAACTGAAGCAGAGGATGAGGTCACCGAAAGGGAACTCAAAGGTACATTTGCTCCTGTTCCTGAAAACATGTTTGCAGCTCTTGCTGTAGAAACCACTGACTCATTAATAGGAGGAAGATTCTGACTCACAATATTTGAGCTTGCTAGGACTGCAGTACTACTTGTTGACAAGGGCGAAACATAGCCCTTACTACTTTTGTCTTCTCCTTTCGGCATTACACTTTGCAGTATATTAACTGATGATATAGCTGGCAGATTTCCTGGAGGGTTTATAATTGCCTGACCTATGTTTAGCCCAATTTTCACATCTTTAATCTGAGACACAGTTTGTGAAGAATTGATTTTTATTGGTGCTCCCAATGTAGATGGAATTAGTACTATTTGGGGTTGCTCTGGAGTCTTAACGTAAGTTTTACTCAAGGGAGGAGGAAGTGTCTGTTTTAATGATTCTGCAACAATAGCTGAGGCTGAAGTGCCACCAGGAACTGGAGCATTAATAAAAACGACTTTCTGGGTAGAAACACTTGTAGATGTTGGTGCCGGTGCCATATTAACTGAAGGTGCACTGCTGGGAAGAACAGACGGACTTGACACTAGCATGAGTTTCTGAACAGGAGTCTCACTGAGCACATCTCCATTTATTGCTGCTGTTGTTTCTGATCTTGTAACTTGGTAGCTTTTTGTGAAATAATCTACTTGTTGCGCTTTACTTGATGTATGAATAACATTTGTATTTGTTTGTCCGAAATTTCCTGTTGATATGCTAATCACACTAACTGAACTATTTGTTGTTGATGGGAGCAGCGAGCTGGAAGAAATGGAGGGCTTCACAGGTGAAGAGGGCATGCATGAGTTTTTTTCTATCATGGGGCCCACACAGCCACTGCTGGGGGGTTGGCCTAAAATAGGTTTGAGACTTTTTCCCATGGATGGATGAAAACCACATGAAATAGAAACACAAGTAGGTGTCTGGCTGAAAGATGGGGGAGTAGATGTAGCGGTCATTCCAGCTCCTTGTGAAAAAACAGGGGATGATGTTGATTTTGGCACCAGAAATGCCTGAAGTTGAGGTGCAAAGGTGAAAACAGAGCTTGAAGATAAACTGCTGGGTGAATTTTGTTCTGGATTAGTTTGTACTTTTACAACTCCAGTGTTCCCACCTCGAGTCCTAACAAGAATCGACTGTGAATCTCTTATACATACAGTTTTTAGTTCTTGCTTTGCCTCAGCACAATCAGCAGTTTGCTGTGAAAAAGAGGTGAGGGAACTGGCAGGATCTGTAGATTCATTTAGTGTTGTTGCTGGTAACAGAGGCTGAACTGTTGAGGAAATGGTGGGTGAAGTAACAGGCTGGGGGAATGTGGCTGACGAAACTGCATTCTTGACTTTCCCTGCTTCACTTTGGCTAGCCTTAACGGGTGATGCTAATACATTACTTACAGAGGTTACAGGTGACAAAGGCTGTGATCTAGCACTCACATTTGATGAAGGTGTAAGTGGCTTACTAAAAACTGTATTAGGCAGTTGGGTAGAAACTGTCCCTCCTGAGGTGACAGGAACAGACACTAAGGAACCCTGCTCTGCACCCTTCTGCTGAGGTGCTGCTAGCTCTTTTGCAAAAGCTTTTCCGTCTTTGTGCTGAATCACAAAATTCTTAGGCAGAATAAGGACTTGCTGCATGATCTTTTCTCCTGTTTTAGAATCCACCACAGGCTGCATCTGAATCTTGACAGAGCTATTGTGAAGGTCAACTGGCAGCCACTGACCACAGGGCATTTTGTATACCATCTGTAAAGGTCCTTTTGTACCAGTGAGGCCACTCAATGCTGGCTTTACGGGGCTTGTTTCTGCAGGAGACACAGCTGGCTTTTCCACAGCAGGAACATTTCTACCTGTGGAAGGGGGCAGTTGATTTGTTAAGGTCACTTTGTTCCCAATATTCTTTGCAAGCAAGGCCTGAATAGGTTTGGTCCCTTTCTGGAGAGTAGACACTGGTACTGAATCCTTTGAGGCAAATGACTCCAACGGCAGTTCTGTATGTTTTGACTCATTCAAACAGTCAATCTGCATATCAACTTCCAAGTTCTCAACTGATGTTTCATTTGTGCTTAGCTTTGCTTTCTTCCTTGGGGAAAGCTCCTTTGTGCTATCATCCAGATAACTGCTTTGTTTGGACTGTCGTTTAAGTGTTTTAGGCAGTGTCTTCACTACATCTTTAGAAGACAATTCCTTTTTCAACAACTTGCTTCTGGCCAAAGGATAGCCTATTTCTGATAATTTCATATCATCTGAAAATTATAAAAACAAGCATTTTGTTTATAGAAAACAGTTTTTGAGTAACATCAATTATAAAAAAATCTACTGTACAGTCATCCCAAAGCTTCAGCACTACTGATGAAGGTAGCAGTGACCTCTGACACGCTGACTTCCCACATCCCAGCTAGGCTTAAGAGCAACCTGTTACTGAGATCAATCCTGGACTAAGACTGCTGACAAGGCATGAAAAACTCAGTTTCTAAAAAGATACACAGTTTAATCTGGCTAGTTTTCTTTCTCCAGATAGGAAAACCTTTATGCCACAGAGGAATGGTTACTATTCTATATTTTGGTCTTTAGAGACTGAAAATGAAAACCAATGTTCAGCCTTTCTTGTTCCTTATCCTTAAACAATTGTGGTCATATCTGGTCAAAAGAAGATATGAATATGTTAACATATTACTAACCACAAGTTTTCAGATTAACTTCTTATATAACTAAAGAATGCTACTGATGAGCAGAAATGAATTGCATGTAACTTGGTCTAGCTACCCATACTTATTAGAAAGAAAGATGTGTTTACTTTGCTCTCAATCAGCCAGCCAGCAACCTTGGTCACACCTCATTTTAAAAACCTTTCACAATCTTAACGATTTCTCAAATTCATTTACAGCAAACTTTACCAACAGAGCTTTAAGAGTAGTAACGATACAAAGATAATCAGTGAATTCCAAAGGGGAAGGTAACTCATTAGCAGTGTATGGTCTGCAACAGGCAATGACAAATATATAACTTAGGGTTAAGCACTGGCTTCAAAAACTCTTAGAAATTTAATAATGATTTTCAAGAAATTGCTTACGAGAGGATGGACACTATTTCTGTAAATTATCAGATTTCCTCAATCAACATTCACTGACTCAATTACCTTTTTCCTTCACAACAAACAGAAAGTTCTCTTTGTGCTTATATTTAAAAAAAGTTTGAATGCCTACCAGAATCCACGTGTTCTGTCTCCAGGTTGTCTAGAGGTTCTGCTGCATCTACAGACTTACTGATTTCTGCTGTAGGAGGCTCTCTCTCAGGGTTCCTTTCACATTCTTCAGTAGTCCATAGCTCTCTTGTGAACTGACTATGATCAGGTTGTCTTCGGAAATCATCATAGTCTTTCTTCAGGCGGCTCCTGAAATAACCAATGTAATGTGGAGCTTTTGGAAGCTAAATTAATTAGTATACTAAATTAAATCTTGGAAATATTTTCAATTGTCTTAAATTATGTTTTAAGTGTATCTAAAATGCCTATTAGTTTAGTCTTGCCAATTATTTCATTGCCCAAGAAGACAAAACTTATGATATATGCTTAAGAAATTAAAGGCTATGTCTTAAAATTTGTGAATAAACTGGGTGGTGGTGGTACAAGTCTTTAATCCCAGCACTTGGGAGGCAGAGGCAGGTGGATTTTGATGAGTTTGTGGCCACCCTGGTTTGCAAATCAAGTTCCAGAACGGCCAACGCTACACTGTGAAACCTGTCTCAGAAAAAAAAATGTTAATATAAATTGAATACACCATCTATTTGTCTTTCTGAGGGTTGTAGTTAGTTATAATTATTAAGGAAAGCAATAAATAACTAAAATTCTCTATCTGAATTGAAAAATAGAGAGTCCTGAGTTGATAGCCTAAGGCTCACTAAGCAGACTGGCCAGCAAGTCCCAGGAATCTGCATGTCATATACATGATTGACTTAAAAGAAAAAACAATTTTTTTTTCCAAGACAGGTTTCTCTAAGTAGCCCTGGTTGTCCTGGAACTCACTCTGTAGACCAGGCTGGTACCACATTCACAAAGATCGGCCTGCCTCTGCTTCCCAAGTGCTGCTACCTCACTTCTAAATGTTGGAATGTTCACTGTCCACATATTTTCTATTAAACTCATGGTTTTAAATATAATCAATGTTGATAACTCCTAAATTTGTATATCAAGTCTAGTAATGCTGCTGAATTACATAACTCACACAATGCCTATTCAACACCACCAATTAGGCGTCTAGAAAGTATATCAAACATGACATGTTTAAATCAAAACTATTCAATCCCTGGTATTCCTCAAACCTAATTCTCCTTCAGGCACTCCTGTCTCCATTACTGGAAATCTATGATGATAATTGTTTAGATTAAAAATTAATTTTTACTCATCAATTTTCTATTACATATTAGCTACTTCATTAACTGCTGGTATAAAATACTTGACAGAAGCATCTTACGGAAGGAAGGGGGATATTTATCTTAGTCTGAGGGTACATTATGGCTTAAGTGGGCTGTTTTCATTGCATGCTGTCAGGAAACAGACGAATGTTGCAGCTCAGCTCCCTTCTCTTTCTTGTTCAGTCCAGGGCCCTAGGCCACATTTTGCAAGCCTTCCTCCCTCCATTAAACTAATCTAGGAAATGCCACAGAGACACACCCCAGGTTTTTCTCCATTCTGTTTTTAAATCTCATCAAGCTGGAGATAGGATTAACTCACCACATACTCCATAATACACTCTTCAGGCAAATTTTACCAAGCCTACTTTGAAGTTGTGTCTAAAATCCAACCACTTCGTGTCATGTGCAATACTACAACCTACTCCCACTTTTTTAAGGTTAACTATTACAATATAACTAATTTATGTTCTTTCATCTTTACAGCTATTTCGACATGACAACTAGAGCAACCACTTTAAAATTTAAGGTCAGGTAGCCTCAGTGATGGTTCAAATGGATAATAGTGCCTGCTACCAAGACCCACACAGAGAAAGGAATCCCAACCCCCACCTGCCATACACACAAAACAATCTACCAATCAATCAACGTGAAAAAAAGTTAACAAAACAAAACATTAAGGTTAGAGAAATAGCTCAATAGTATTTACTTAGCCATGTACAAAGCTCTGAATTCAAATCTCAGCATTGCAAGCAAGCAAGCAAGCAACAGAAACACAGAAAATAGCAACCTGTCTCTGTAAAAACTTTTCAAAAGCTTTTCATCTTGGTCCATGTAAATTCTTAAAAGATTAAGTCCTAGCTGATCTGGCTACCCGACCTCTGACCTTTATGTCCTTCCTCAATCTTCATTGATCATTGTTCTTTGATTGTAACCGACTCTTAGTGCTTCCTCCAAATGCCAAATACACTTCTACACTTGGAGCGTGCCTTTCTATTCTGTTTCTCCTCTAGTATGTACCTCATTTCCTTTAGGAGTAGCCTCCACAGTCTCAAACAGGAATACACATCCCCTTCATCAGGATTCTGCCCACTAGCATTTACCACATTTGAGTCCGTACGCTTCTTCCATCAGAAAGTAAATCACAGAGAATAAGGTTTTGTATTTACTGAATTACAAACGAATGGAAAAACCCCAAATCATAAAATAAGGGTCTTAGAATAAGTTAAATAAATATATCATAAAGCTTGTTACCTGTTTCTCTGAAAAGCCTTCATTAACTTTGGTTCCCATGGCAACAATTCATTTAAAAGGCGTACCAGTGTACTATGCAATTCTTTTACAGCTTGCCTCCGATGGTACCATTTGCCCTAGAAACGTAAGTTTCAAAACATTAAATTTCTAAGACTTAACCTCAAATAAGTATCAACCAAGTTTTAGCACCTAATAAAAAAGTAACAAAATGCCAATATCATCAAAAATATTCCTTCCACAGAGTTAACAAAAGAAGGAAATATCTTCTAAGAAATCTGAGTATGTTTAGTGATCTCAGTTCTACAGAAGAAACCCAAATGTTTGTCATCTAAGTAGGAATACATATTAAAAACAGTCTAATTATGTCAGTTGTAAATATATTAATAAATCATTTACCAAATGCATTTAGTCTTGGATTTGGTGTCCAGGGCTGGGGGGGGGGAGACAAGGACGGGACACCCACTAACAAACCAATAAAATCATGTAAAGGTACAGATATTTAAATAAATTCACCAAATATGAAAACATAGCTCATGAAGTAAAGTTTTTTTTTGCAACGTCTAAGAGAGGGAAAACAAAAAAGACTCCTAACAAACTTCCTTAAGAATTATTACAATCATTTTAGCAGCTTCTAGCACAGAAAAGTAATTAAAACTGTTGTGGTGATATATATGCACACGTATGGGCATGAGGATGTAGAAACCAGAGGACATTAGGACACAAGTCCTCATGCTTCTATAGCAAGCATTTGTACCAATGAGCTACCTTCCCAAGCCCAGTCTATGGCTTTTTCAAACCTACATGACGACATTAAAATTATTTCTGGTGTCCCTCCCATTTGCTGGTATTACAGGTACTTTCTATCTGTCTGTCTATCATCCATCCATCCATCCATCCATCCATCCATCCATCCATCCATCCATAAATGAGGTGTTATAATTCTTTTAGTAGTTTCTATCACAGAGAAGCAACTAAAACAGGAGTTTACAAAAGGAGGAAACATCTTGTATCATATAATCAACATGTATTATTTCTAATAAAAGACAATTATATTATTAGATCACATTTAACACACATAAAATCAGACTTCATCCTATAAGCAGCTGTTGAGTCAGTCTGCCCATATTTAGACTAGAAAGGCCACTATCTATAGCAAAAGTATATTCTAGAGCTGTACAGAGTTGCCAATTTTTTATATACAGACCCATAAAACTTTTGCTGTTTTAAATGACAATTCTATAACCCAAAGTTTTTTTTTTTCTCTGTTGGTTCTTTTTTGGATTTTTTTGAAAAAGGCTTTCTCTGTGTAGCTTTGAAGACCAGGGTGGCCCCGAACTCACAGACATCTGCCTGCCTCTGCCTCCTGAGTGCTGGGATTAAAGGTATGGGCCACCACCACCCAGTAACAAAGTCTTAATGGCATGCTTTACCAAAAGAGTACTCGGAAGCCACAGCGTGTGTATTCATATAAAGCCAAAGAGCTGTATTTCTTCTAAGGTTTTTGATTCTTAAGGGGGAACTGTTTATTAGAAGAGTAAGATATGTAGGATTAAATGCTGTGGACACACCAAATATGAACCCTATGCTAATTCATGTCTTTAAAAAGATTATTTTTATGTGTATGAGCATTTTGTCTACATGTATGTAAGTGCACCACACGTATGTAATGCACACAAAGCCTGAAGAGGGAGCTGAATCTTCTGGAATCATGCACTTCCATGTGGGTGCTGGTAACTGAATCCAGTTTTCTGCAAGAGCAGCACATATTAACTGTGGCCATTTCTCCATCCTTAATTTGCATCTTAATAGGATGTCAGATCATGGTATTAAGGAAAATTTTTAAGAAAAACTACCTCTCTCCCAAGGCAGGGTTTCTCTGTATAGCCCTGGCTGTCCTGGAACTTTCTTTAGACAAGGCTGACTTTGAACTCAAAGATCCACCTGCCTCTGCCTCCTGAGCGCCACCACCACCCAGCTGAAGAAAATTTTTATTTCCTACCACACGGTGGTTCTCAAACATCCCAATGCCACAACCTATTAATAGAGTTAGTTCCCCAGCCACAAAATCATTTTCATTGCTATTTCATAACTTGTAGTGTAAAAGTTTGATATGCAGATGGTCTTAGGTGACCCCTGTGAAAGGGTTGTTTGACCCCCAAGGTATCATGACCCACAGACTGAGAGACACTGCTCTAACATTTTAAAGAGTATTGTTTCTTTTCAAATGTATTCTAAGAAAAGCACAAGTCAGACCAAAGTAAGCAGTGAGTTATATCTCAAAATGTAAAACTTTTCTCAAAAGCATTGGTGAGACAGTATGAAGTGCTTATTCTAAGCCACGAAACAAGACTATTAAGTGGAATAAGAAATAGTATTCATCAAGGGCAACCAGACTGGATCTCACCATGTAACCCTTTGACTTCTTATGACTATATAAAAGGAAGGGAACTCAAATGTTTAATCAGAGAACAGATTTATAACTTTCATATAACGGCCTTACCCATTAACCTGTTTTGAAATATCTATGGTATAAAAGGATAAACAAATATAATGACTGAAAGGAACTTTATACACTGCCATGGAAATCTATAGTCTTGAGGTGATTAAGAGGGCAGAGTCACTTCTTGTAGTGGTGTTTAAAGCAAGGCTTTTCACTCAACTACTTAGACAGGGAGGGAACTCCAAGCTTCCTGTATCATCTGGATAAAGCATGATGCTTACAATCCAGACAATGACATCTTGTGGCCCACACCACTGGTGCTAAGGACTGAATCCTGAGCCTTGCACTCTACCACCAAACTAACTCTTTAGTCCTAACACTGTTGCTTTCTACTGAGTAGTGATCTCATTTCACAGTGTACAGAGGAACTATTACGAAAAGCATAAATGTTATCCATTTTTAATAAGCCATTAGAGTTAATAACAATCTGCTTTACCTTTGGTCCAATATAAAAATTTACTTTGAATCAACAAATATTTATTGATGTTTAAACTAAGTAAGTAACCACAAGCCAGAAACAGCTTTTTTAACTGATCAATTTCATTGATTACAATACAGATATGAAAAACACAATTTTGATATTCCTTCCAAGATGGATTTATTAAAACTTAAAAGGGCATAATTTCCTAGAAGAAAGCTGTCTTAAAAATCACCTCAGGAAATACTTGTAAAATGGAACTGACTTCAGACTAAAATTCTAGATCTCATAAATGTTAATATCTACTCTTGTTCTTAAACACCATGCTGTCTCTCCTGGTCCCCACAAAGCCAATTCTTAAACAAATATAGATAGATTATATTGTACAACTACTTATTCCTAAGTAAGTACTAATAGATTACATTGTGCAGATACCCTTGCAACATTAAAAGTTACAATCTCTAAAGATTGTGTCAATTTAAAGTATAACAGTAATTAAAATAGTGACATATTTTAAAACTAAATTAAAACAAAGAAAAACAACAATTGGAATGGTGGCACAAGTCTGTATCCCAGCACTCTGGAGTTAGAGGCAAGAGGATTGCTGCAAGTTTGAGGAGAGTCTGGGCTACAGAGTGTATTTCCAAGGAAAATAAGAGTAAAACCAGTGCACTCCCTTACTAATATAAAATCTACTGATTTTTAAGAAAGGCAAAATCTTCATGTGTACTGATTACAGAACTAAAAATCAAACTGGCAGATAGATGGATCAACAGACAGAATTGGTATTTGGGACAACTAGTTATGTGCTACAGTGTGCTAAAGCATTAATAAAACTATTTAGTTTAATATTTAATATAAATTAGCATATACTCTGATTATTTTAAAACAAGTAAGTGAACACAAGGAAATTTTAGCCTTTTTCATCATCACAATTCTGAGCATTTTCAAGAATTAAAAAATTTTAAAATAAAAATTAAATGTATTATGTACATTTAGTATTATGGACATTTAAGGTTCTAAAAAGGATTCATTCATTTTATTTATGTGTGTTTGCTTGCTTGTATATATGTGCATCATGTATGTATTCCATACCCAAGAAGGTCAGAAGAGAGCATCAGATCCCATGGAACTAGTTACGGTGACTGTGAAGCATCATGTGGATTGATTTGAACCTGGTCCTGTGCAAGAGCTCTTAACCACTGAGCCATCTTTCCAGCCCAAAGAATAATATATTTTTTTTAAATTAACAGATTATAAACTTCAACATGAACAATGAATTTCAAGCATGCAACAGAAAAAACAACAGCCAAGTCTAAATTTGCAGCTTACCTTTTAATGCTTCTCATCCAATGTCCACAGCATCTGCAGATTGCCAGCTCCCTTTGCACTATATGCTCAACTACCAAACTATGGAGTTTTTAAATGACCCTCTAGGGAATATTTTTAAAAGAAGCTATCTATGGCCACAAGGTAAGTCCTTTGTTGTATTATGCAGTTTTCTAAGTTTTTGAGTATAATGCACCAATAACCTAAGGAATCACATGAGGAAAGAAACAAATGTACAAAACTATACAATACTGTAAAATGAAAAACTGCATCTCAACGAGTGTGAAATGAGCATGGGGGAACTTACCTCATAACTAAAGAACAACTCCATCCTGCTGTAGTAATCTGGGATGGGTTTGACAATGCCAGCTTAACACTGGCTAGGGTGCTGTAAAGAGGGAGTTGGCAATCTACTAATGCTGGGGACATTGGAAACCTAGGAGAAAAAAAGGAAAACAAATTCTAAATTGATCAAGTATCTCATCATATGGATATGTTTACATATTAATAAATGGCAAACTCACTTTTACAAACCATCCAATTTCATATGTAGATTTTCTTGTCATGTATATAATTATACAAGGTTACTAGGAACCACATAATAAGGAAGTCATATATAAAATGCACAAGAATTTCTTTTTAAATGCTACTTTTTAAAATGCTTCTGCTTACAAATGCTAGCGAATAGAAAGAAACATCCATTATAAAGCAAAGTACTTATATTATAAGCTTGATTCTTCCTATAAACAGAAATTTGATGTTGGAAAAGGACTGCCAATTTATTAATACGGTTGTATTATAATTTTCAAGAAAAATTAAAACAAACTGTTAAAGTATCAGTGATCCCTAATGATCAATAGTGGCTAATTTAAAACCAAATCCAATCTAAAGGTGGCTTGTAAAGAACGTAAACTCCTATGAAATGAAAATAGCACAGATAAAATTTAACCATTTTAGTCAGGTGTAGTGGTGTACTCTTTTAATTCCAGCACTGGGAAGGCAGATCTCTTGAGTTCCAAGACAACCAGGGCTACACAGAGAAATTTTGTCTTAACAACAAACAAAAAAAACCAACCCCCCAAAACAAACTACTTTAATTAACGGTCTGACAATTTTCGTAGTCTAAGTAATATTAAGTGAAAAATTAATTCTACAGTCATAATTTCTTACCTAGAGAAACTACCTCTACATTTCCATGGCCCTGCACATTCAGTTGAGAAGATAAAAAAAATCACCTTAATCTCACAGTCACATTGCCTTTTTAAAAGTGCCAGTTTTGATAATATAGTGAAATGACTGTATATTACTATGAAAAAGTTAAAGTCTTAACAATGCCACAGTAAAATTTTCTCTTGATACTTTCACCAATTTTCATTTAAGATGAAGTCTCACATTGAACATTTCATTATCCTTCTAAATCGGCATTAAAATCAAGTACAAAGGCATGTAATTACCACTGCGATAGCATCCCTGCTTTGTACAGAGAAATACAGAGATCACACTCTGAGTGAGGCAGCTCACTCTTCACTGAGAAAAAAAAAAAGCCTCTTTGAATAAACTATGGTAAAGCACAACTTGAGTAAACATGATAAAAAAAACAGGCTCACATGAAAAGTTTTTTAAAGAGTGGCAAAAATCTTTCATTTTTTACTACCTAGAATACAGTATGCCTAACAAATTTCAAATAAAGTAAAACTGAGTAAATTTATTGAAAACGTTCATACTCTAACTTTCAGGAAAACTAAAAAAAATCTTAGAATGTTTTGAGAAGACTAAAAATTCCTGTAACCTAAATTATGATAAGAAAAATTAAAAGGTTTTGTCAAACTACATCTCAACCAGAGTTGCACTTTAGACAAAGCTGAGGCAGTCATGAAGTACGGTGTTAAAGAACCCAAAAGAAGCCGGGCGGTGGTGGCGCACGCCTTTAATCCCAGCACTCGGGAGGCAGAGGCAGGCTGATCTCTGTGAGTTCAAGGCCGGGCTGGACCGATAGCCTCCGAAACAATACAGAGAAACCCTGTCTCGTAAAAAACCAAAAAGAAAAAAAAGAACCCAAAAGAAAACACATAGATTTTAAGAAACTATAATCTTCCACTGTAACAAAAAGTTCAATGGCAAAACCTGAGGTTTATAAAAAAAGCCTTCTAACTATAAAGTTCTCTACAGTATAAAGTCTGTTAAATTAGGAAAAAAAAACCTTTTAAATGTAATGTTCACTGGATAAGATGATGATTACAGGGATGCATGGGATGCCTGGTTTTGCTTGTTGCTGGGGAGGAAATAGAATCTGGACAGACCACAGAGAGAAAACTCTGAAACAGCTAAGCACTAATTATATGAATCGTTACTAAATCAACATCCTGTGTACAATCTAAACTTTAGTAGTGACACTTATGGGGAATGAAAATTTACATCTTCTTTGTTATGCATTGTTACTGAAATAATGAAAATCATTATTAAATAAAAACATGTTTTGATTCTAAATACTATTTTAGTCTTGACATTAATCCTCAGGGGATAAATATTATCCTTAATTTATCACAAGATAAGGAATAAGTCAAGACAGCGATCTCTATTGTGAAGTTCATACATTTTACTAGTATGAAAGTCTTCTTGCAATAGTCTTCACTGTAAGCCCAATTCTAGTAAGTACAGTTTTTTAATTACAGTATTCCACTAGGGTAGATAAATGAACACAATTAAGAAGTGATAACTGGCAGACAGCCCAGCAATGAAAAAAAAAAAAAAAGACCAGAAATAAACATGACCAGAACAAAATAATCCTTCAAAATATATGGATGAATCTTTAATAACAACAAGTGATAGCAACATATTTTTACAATAATAAGACAACTGGTATTCACAACAGTGATCCTGAAGTCAATCAAAAAGGGTGAAATTGTGCACTGACGGTAAGATGCAAAAAAAGTTCTGCATTAAATGGTTAAGGTAAGGATTTTGATATTATTATTATTATTGGTTTTTCTTTTTTTCTTTTTTTGTTTTTTGTTTTGGTTTTTTTACGAGACAGGGTTTCTCTGTATTGTTTTGGAGGCTATCGGTCCAGCCCGGCCTCGAACTCACAGAGATCCGCCTGCCTCTGCCTCCTGAGTGCTGGGATTAAAGGCGTGCGCCACCACCGCCCGGCTATTATTGGTTTTTCAAGACAGAATTTCTCTGTGTAGCTTTGGAGCCTATCCTGGAACTAGCTCTTGTAGCCAGGCTGGTCTCAAACTCACAGAGATCCGCCTTCCTCTGCCTCTGCTGGGATTAAAGGCATGCACCACCACCAGCCGGCTGGATTTTGGTATTATTTATGCTTACTAATGTTTAAGAGTTCTAGTTTATGTAAAAACTCTGTTAAGGAGAGCGTATTACTCTTAAATGATACCAAACAAATACAAGCTGGCATTAAATTGAAACACTCAATTTGTTATTTTCTGCAATTTGCAGAGATCACATTCACCATCAGATTTTGTAAAGGAAAAAGGTGTGTTGGGGAAGAGAGAGAATTCTAAAATGAAAACTTTCCTATTCCTTTTATGCTCTGCAGTCATTTTCGCTGGCTGAGACAATTGTCTAGGGAATACTCCTTTATGCAGTTTCAGTCAAGGGGAAATAGTTTATACCCTATGTTGTTACTTCAGTAAAATTATCCCTAGTACAGTTCCAAGAACTTGCAAATACCAAAGGATGTCGTTTGGAGACACAAAAGGTAATCCATCAAACTCTCTATTTCATCTGTAGCTTCTAATAAACATATCCTCAAAGACTATACTGTTAAGTACCTTTAGTTTGTTTCCTTTACTTTTTCTTCTATTTGATCCTATGAGTTTACTGAAGTCCACTTCACTAACAAAGTGAGGAGGATGGCTTTGCAGAAAATCCTGAACACTTGCAAAAGTTTTCCTCTTGTAATATGTGCTGTGAGTACTTAAATCAACTATGCTTAAAACTATACAGTAGGAACAAAACTTTTTTATATAAAAGTAAAACTTGATTTTAAAAACCTATAGTCTGATAACAGTTCTTTTAGGAATTATCTTGGTAAGAATAAAGAGTATTTGGGGTCTGGTGTATGTTTTATACTACACATAATTAAAAGTTTGTCACTATGCAACAGGCTTCCATTAAAGATATGTAATGAAGAATAAGCAATATCCAAAAAACTACCAGTTAGAAGACAATCAGCATACTGAGTAATATCTAAGACTATACTTTTTATAAACCAGGCAGAGGAAATTAATCTTGCTCCCAATATCATCTTTTTGTGTTAAAAATGAAAATTAGACCACATGGGAGAAATGAAGGAAACAATGCTTCTATCTTTAGTTGTAAAACTTCGTGTAATTAGGACAACAAGATTTTTAAAAGCTTTGGAGAAAAGCAGGAATAAATTTTAGTGCTGACAATAATAGATAGAACTTTTTGATAAACACCTACCGATTTTTTTCTACTGTTTTCCAGATCTTTGAGTTCATTCTCGATTTTTGTGATTAATTCCCTGAGTTCATCAAGATTAGTGCAAATAAGCTAAAATAAAACACAAAAACACAGCTTGATAACACATAATAAAACACCAAAAATGTGGTAACAGAAATTGTTTAACATACAATGAAGTTAAGACTACTTCTCTGCAATAATAAAAGTAAGGAAGCTCCAGTTACTATCTGAGATATTTACTTGTTATGATGTATGAACCTCAGGCTTCACATAAAATAAACTAAAATTACAACACTGGTAGTCTCATCCTACAACTTAAAGTTGGCATTATCATCCTATTATTTTTTTTTTAGTATTATTAACTTTCATCCCAGAATGACAAAGATCTGGAAACTCACTAGATTTTACAGGTTACTTAAACACCTGTAAGAAACCCTTGCACCAGGCAGTCTGAGCAGGTAAATTGTAGCCCTGTGAGAGTGACCATTATCCCTTTGCTTTGGTTTGCTAACTCTATAATTCAACAAACTGAGTTATTGCTGCTGGCAGTGGTACTAAAGGACAAGAACTATGTGTGATATATTTAAAGATAGGAACAGGAACAAAATTAAGTACAAATCTTTTCATGAGTTTAATAGTTTTTGCTGTTGCTGTTTTTTTTTCTTTTTTCTTTTTGAAAAAGGGTCTTACTATGTATCCCTGGCTGGCCTCATGTATGACATTCCTGCTCAGCCACCAGATGCTATTCAGACATGTGCCAACCTGCCCAAAAGAGCTTAATGGGTTTTTAATAAAACTATCTTTGCAAAGAATATCTATTTTCTTCTGGAATTCTGTGGTTCATTTATTTTACTTGGTTAACTCTGGCAAATGACCAAAATGACGAATTCTTAGTTATTAACTGACCTAGCTTGGCTTAACTACCGTTTTATAAACTGAAGCATCAGAAATACTAAGAAAAGTGTTTGTTACTCCATTTGGTTCCTGTAAAATTATATTGAATTTTTCCAATGAGTTTACTATATTTAACCCTTTTCCTAAAATAATTTAAGCAATTTAAGAACATCTAAAGTAAAAGAAAATTAAGAAACAAAATTGCATCTACATAGGCAAAACAGACCAAAGAATATCTTGATGTTTATACCATGTAACTTAAAATATGCTATATATTTATAAATTATCACCAACCTTTATCATAACTGTGCTCATTACATTCATTAATGTAAAGTTACTGGTTTCTTAAAACATACATTTTTTAAATCAGCAAATCAAACAAAAGTAACAAGCAAAAGTGGGTCACACAACAAGATACATGCTAGTTGTTATTGAGTGATTTCAACAGGAGATAGGAAATGTTTTAAATTTTGCTAACACTATCAGAAATTCCTAAATACATTTATCTACAAAAGTGGCAATATCGTTCAACCTAAGTAATTAAGAAAAATTATCACAGATACTATACCATAATTAGTATTAATAATTACCTTCTGGAAATATCTACAAAACTTCAAATGCACTGATAAAGCAGGGGAAGTACATACTTAAGTAATCCAAATTTAACAATTTCAGGACTGGGGGTGTGCTCAGTGGTAGAGTACTTGCAAAATACAAATATAAAAGCAATTTCAGAGTAAAAAACTATATAGTACTGTAGTGGGAGAGTGTAAATGATAATTATTGGAGACCACACATTTCAATTTGGTCAATTTAGTTATGAAAGAAATGATAGTCAAGCAGTAGACTGGCCAACTAGATAAGCAGTTCTACAGCGAGGTAACATCTTCAGCTCCTATTGAATCTATGAATCTTTAGGGCAACATCAGCTTTCCAGTAAGTTTTAATGAGTACTCCCTGCAGTCTGTAGTTATTACTGCTATGACAGATTTGTCCCTTTTCACTGAATTTGGTGTATTGGCTAATATGACAGCACAGATTTTCACTTATCTATGTGGCAAGGCTCAAAGAAATTTTCCTTATATTTTAGGGATATCACTTAAGACGGTAAGAGGGAAGCTTTATGTGAAACATGTAGACATTTAGAGGAACAATGAAGGCATATACTCAATAAATTAAACATATCCTAAAATCTTTAAAGCTCTTTTAATTATCAGTTAGTCATGACATTAACAAATAATTATATTTCATTTGCTGGAACATAGCTGAGGCCAAAGTGTTAAAGCTCTATGAAGTAACACTTCTAAGTGGCTTACCTAGTTAGTAAGCTGTGTTAAATCGACTCTTCTCAAATTTCAGTGTGCATAAGAATTGCAGGGGAACCTTGGCAGTTTTGGATTTAGTATGTCTCACACCTGACGAGTTTATAGGTATAGTCAGTGGATCATGCTTTTTAGTCATGTACTTTATGACTATGAATCGCAAACCAACACAGCTGCTAAGACATTAAAATGTTCTGCTATGTAGTTAATGAACATGAAAATTCAAAATAACTAACTTCTGAATTTGGGGGGGTAGGGTTTTTTTTTAGGATAATGATGTTAAAATAAATCTCCTAATCTAAGTTACAAGTGTAATATTTTTAAGTTGAGGTTCAGAATATTTTTAATAATATTTATCTTGAAGGTATATTAAAATAATATCTACATAATAATTTACAACCTTTGCTACTATTGTAGAGTTAGAATCTCACAAAATCTCACTACACAGTAAAGACATCCTCAAACTTACGTAGCCTAGGTTAGTCTCAGCCTTCCAAGTGCTGGGGTCACAGATATGAGGTATCACAACCAGGCCTGATTTATACTCTTAATATGTAAATATATTCTTTATATTTCTATATACCTAACATATGCAATATGCTAAATCATGCTAAGCTATTACAAAATTCTGGAGTAGAAATGTAGTTTAATTTATGCCAACTTTATATCACATACAATTCAATTCCTACTTTTTAAAAAAAGGAAAGGCTTCAATTTCAGGTGATGATTCTATGAAAGCTAGAATCAACACAGTAAAAATTCACTTTAGTAAGAACAAAGAAAAGCATCTCAATTAGCCCCTTTCTTGTTAATATTAGATTGAAAGTGCTTCCAAGACACAGGGTCTCCTGGGTGAAAGATGGCTGAGCAGCTGGGATTACCACACGCTCTGAGAGTCTTCCCTGCAGGGAGACCGCAAGTGACACACTCACGTTAAAGTAAGCTTTTTACTTGACTAAATCAAGTGACACACTCACGTTAAAGTAAGCTTTTTACTTGACTAAATCAAGGCTGAGCCACCATCAATCAACTTACAGATGAAATGGATTAAAATTCTGTAACCTGACTCAAGGCTTAGAGTAGGCTAAACAGGTGCATCTTCAGTTGAAACACAACAGATATAAAAAGACCTAAGATGATGCACTGGGGGAGGAAACAAGAGAACTTTAAACTCTATCTACTACATCACACCCTACAAGGGGTCTTTCTAAACAAAATAGAAAAAATTTAAGACTAGCAAAAGTGAACATATAGTTTTAGGATACAAAACTATTCATACCATTATTTTCATTGGCTGGCAGTATTGAAAGGCCTTCTATTCAACTAAAACATTAGGAATGAAAGTATATTAGGGTGAGGAAGTACTATTATAGATAAAAGAATTTCATGGTCATATCTCAGAAAAATTACATAATAAAAATTTCCTTACTTTGTCAATTCAAGCACCAAAACCATGCCATTCTGGCAGAGGATCACTAGGTTTGAAAGATATTCCAAATAAAGTATCATACAAAATAAAAAAAAAGCAGGTTATTTTAAAAAGGAAAGGGAAAAACCACGTTAAAAGTAAAAACAAGTATGTTCAAACAAATGGCTTATTTCCACTACCATTCTAATATAAAGATCCTTTGATTTGTTTTAAAATGTATAAGTAAAACACTAAATATATGATCCAAATTAAAACTCCATATGGTATTTAAACACAAATTATATTAATAGTTGTTAGAACTATGCTGACAAGAAAATCTTATTTCTTATGATCACCACGCCACAACAGCAAGGACAATAAATTACAGAAAATACTCATCTGACATGAAAACAATTCTGGCAAACAAGTTAAAAAGTATTTTAAAATATCATGTAATTAAAAATGTTTTTCCAATGCCTTAAAGAAAATTGAATGGCTTTAAAGAGGTAAAGTTGAAAATATATATTTTTAAAGGTAGCAATTAAAATATGATTTAATCAATGGTTCCTTATAGGAAAGTTAAAAATTCTGATTTCAATCTTAGTCCCAATTTGTTATATGAAGATGATACTTATTTTCTTATTCTTTAATGGCTAGGTGGAGAAATATACTTTTTTTTCAGGGATATTAGTTAAAAGTTTATGTTTGTAAACAATACTGTGTAGGTCTTAGCAATATGGATTGTGGGTTTCCTTTGAAAATTAAGCTGTAGAATGAATAATACTTTTAGAAGAGATGCCAAGTACACAGTCATTAAAAAGTATTGGGTATGTGTGTGTTGGAGATTACCAATGAAAAAGCAGAAACATGGTAACTAAGGCCACTTAAAATTATTCTTGTATCTTTACATTTTATCTGCTCTTACTTATGTATGTCTGTTTAAGTGAATACCAAGTGTGTGACTGCCTGTGGAGGCCAGGAGATGGCACAAGATCCCTTGCAGCAGGAATTACACGCACTTGTGAGCCATATGACATGGGTGCTGGGAACAGAACCTGTATCCTCTGAAAGGACAAGTGTTCTTAACTGCTGAGCCATTTCTCCAGCCCCTACTTACTTTAAGAAATTATTTTTAGGGGTGTGTGTGTGTGTGTGTCTGTGTGTGTCTGTGTATCTGTGCATGTCGAGTACGTGTGCCTACAGAGGCCAGAGGCATTGGATCTTCTAGAGCTAACTAACGGTACAGGCAGGCAGTTTGTGAGCTGCCTGGTGTGAGTGCTGGGAACCGAACTTAGATCCCTGAAAGAGCACTAAGTCCTGTTAACCAATGACCTAGCTTTCCAGATCCTTCATTTTACAAATGTGGTTTACTGGGATTAGACACATCAAGTTTTAAAAATATTTTCTAATTTAATTTAGCACAAAAAGAGAATTTATATACTACTACAGTTCTCAAATACTGAAAAAAAAAAAGAAAGGCTCTCATGTGGGCAAAAATTAATAGGAAAACTGACATTTACTTTTGAGTCCAAGAGTCTTTATGCTACAAAACAAAATAGATGCTCTTAAATTCCTAATTAACTGTCCTAATTAAAAAATGCAGTACTTTCCAACAGAAAGTACTATTTCCAACAGAAATGCCTATTTGGAACAGTAAGCTATGGAATTAATCCTCACAAGGACTCTAAAAATTTACCGGCTATTATCCCTCCTCTGTATAGATGAACAACTGGACTCACAGAGGTTGACTAACTTACCTAAGGTGATACAATAGTCAGGTGGCAGGTTTGGCATTCAAACTCAAGTAGCTGAGATCTAGAATCCACATGTTTTAATTACTACGTATAGCACTGATACCCACTACTCACTGAAGGTCTATGGAGAGGATGAAACCTAGGAATCTTCACTTTTAATAAACACATCTGATTATTTTAGTACTTTACAAACTTTAAGAACTAAGGGCATAAATACTCTTAGATTCTTTACAATATACACACAAAATGAACACAAAGTCATCACTTCAGAATCCCTAGTGCATACTCTAAATATGAAAGGGAAGATTATTTTCTGACACAGAATTTTATAGTGCACATATAAACATGGATTCCCATGAAGCAGCTAAAGGAGGCAAATTTAACTTCTACCATTTAACAAGTCAACAAACAAAAACACTGTCCAAGAAATTGAGGTCAAACAGGCTTCACCTTTTCTTAGCTCATTAAGACTTAAAAAATTTAATCTTTAAACTGTTTCTCTTAGCATATTTTCTATCAAAGACCAGCTTTTTGATAAATAGGTCAGGTTTTATAAAAACAATTTAATATTTATACATCAAAATTTTATTTTCAGTAATAAGAATGGATATTTTAGTTTAGGATACTATTAAAATCTTACTTAACTATTTCTACAAAGTATTTTTATGTTCAATACTAATAAACGAGATGGTAAATATACTACCAGTACTTTGGGGAATAAAAAAAATCACTTTATTAAATAATAATTGGTATTTTAAGATTCACCTATTCTGATTTAATGTGTATGAGTGTCTGCCTACATGTATGTATGTATACCACACAAGTGCCTACTGTCCTTGGAGGCTAGAAGAGAGTGTTGAGCATCCAAAAAGTGGAGTTACAGACAGTTGTGAGCCACTATGTAGATGCTAGGAACCAAACCTGGTTTTTCTACAAGCACAGCAAAAGTCCTCATAGCTGAACTACCTCTCCAGCCCCTTTAATCTCTATTGTAGAAGACTGTTTCAAGTTCTGTTCATGAATCACAACATAGTATACACACTGCAAACTAGAAACAGGAGCTATCTTAGCCCAATATAAACTCACAAACAAGACAGATACAGCTCCCCCCCACACACACAGAAAGAGAGAGAGAGAGAGAGAGAGAGAGAGAGAGAGAGAGAGAGAGAGAGAGAGAGAGAGAGAGAGAGAGAGACGAGAGAGAGCGAGAGAGAGCGAGCTCTTTTACCCCCATGCCTTAAGAACCAGGAAAGGGACTTTATTTATTTTGAACAGCTCAATCTAACAAAACATGTACTTTTGACCTTAAATATCTGAGTGATAAACAAATGGTCAATAACTGACTAGAAGTATCACTTATAACAACGTTTTCCAACTTTTTTCCATGAGCCAGAGTCAAAAACACATTTTACATGGTGACATGCAAGCATATCAACACCTACACACAGAGATAAAAATAAAACAATATATTTAATTATACATATTCATGATATTGTGACATGCTGAATATATGTGGTGTTTGATAAATTCTTTTTTAATACTGATAACTTAAAAAAGAAACACATGGACTTCACTTCATATATCACTAATACTATCTATAGTTGTACAAAGCACTGTTATGCAGTCTGTGTTACTATTACACACAAAAGTCTATTCATTAATATAAGAGAAAGGAAAATACCAAAAGTGGTATTTTCTGTATTAAGAAATTGAGGGAAAAAATGAATGGGAGAAACACAAAAGCTAGCATGATTGCCAGTGGAAGCATAAAAATATAGTAGTATACCATTACATGCTACAAGCAATAAATGGCAGGATGGCCTCCAACCAAATAGTAAATTATATTTGAGTATCTGTAAAAAGATTATGTAAAAAAATTCTAAAGAATATAACTTATCATAATAATGTCACTAAAGTAGTCAACTATTATATGTGTATGTATATACATATTTTCCTTTGACTATTTAAAGATACTTGGTTTTTATTAAATTTCAACTTCCCCCAAGTAGGATTTTTACTGAAAATAGATTTACGACACTGTTACATAGTATTTTTCTTGCCCCTTTACTTTCATAACTACTTGAGACCTACAAATACTATCACTTTTATTTTATGAGCTTATAAAACTTTTGGAAATGAACTGGCCACAACAGTACAAAGAAAAAATTTTTAAGAAATTATCATTTGCTGAAGAAAACACTTATTGGATAAGTAGAAAATAAAAGCATACTTCCTTATAATGAGGTTGCTTACTTTCAATATTAGCCCTTCCCACATGGCAGCAATTTTTTTTTTTGCAAAAATGTTTAAAGACTTATATTTAGTCTTTACTGAATATTCTCTAAGTTTATTTATAGCTAAGAGTTAAAGTACCTGTTCTTCAAGTTAATCAGTCCACCACTTCTATACTAGGTAAACATGTAAGAACGGCTTACCAGAGTAATATACCAGAATAACATTAGGCTTACCAGAAAACATTACTGTCTGTAAGCCATGACTTTTTTTTCTTGGAAGACTTTCATTTACAAATATTTGTTTACAAATACTGATAAATATAAAGAAAAGAGACATGTGTACATACATTTCCATTAAACTTCATCTACAAAAGTTAGTATAGGTTGGAAACTAAAAATACCAAGGTTTGTCAGAGATTAAAAAAAAAGACTTTTTTTGCCTACATCTATAATTTAAAGGAAAGCACACTGTCGAAAACAGCCATTAAAGTATACAGCTTGTACTTTCTTGAAATCCAGCCATTCTCTTAAGGAATGACAATGAAACAAAAAATTAAACAGAAGAACTTGGTGACGATGTTGAAACATTTACCTGAAACTCCGGCACAGCAGGTGACTTTGTGACAGTTTTCCTCTTCTTTGTGATTGCTTTTTTAGATATGGATTTTTTTCCTTTCAAGATTAAAAGAGAAAGACTTCATAATGCTGTTTACAGCGCCTCATTAACAGAAACCCAATTGCATAGAGCCTTGAAAGTTAAACTGTAACTCCCAGATGGCTGCTGGTAAGTCAAGTGAAAATAGTGAGTCAAACACGCCTCAGAGAGAGCAAGCATTAAACTGTAACTACCCGTGACAGACACACTAACAACACTGCTTCTTTATATAAGATCCAGAACGATTACACTGTTCAAGGTGATACAAAAACACTGGCATAAACGCCACACAAAACTACTACTCAGTTAAAAATCTACATTCACAACTCACAAGAGACTGAAAAGAACCTTACCTTAAGAATGACCTCTGCAGTCACGAACCTGAGTAAGTATGCCATCTGAAGATTATGGACCCTCAACCAAAAGTAGAAACCCCTTAGTAACACATAGATGCCTTCCTTTAGCTCTGCATGTTTTTAACGGGCTGCTTTTGGCAGTATCTGATACCCAAATTTTAAAAATGTAATCAACATATCCCTTTAATGTGTAATTAGTACTTTGTGCACTCAGAAATCATAGTGAAAACTAAACCTCACCCTTAAAGAATCCAATTTCAAGAACACATCTGAAGTATATATCTATTTCTTTGCATTTAATGTCACAAAATAAAACATACACAAATACACTTTTGGCAAGGAACATGCTGTAATTTTTCCTTATTTTGTTCTAATGTTGAATGTAAACAAGGCTGGCTGGGCTCAAGGTCACAAAAATTCTCTTGCCTCAGGCCCCCAATAGCTGGTATTACATGTGTGAATACCATGTCTTCCCCTTATGTGTAATTATTAAATAATAAACTTACTTAATTGTGGGCTGGAGGAATGGCTTAGGAATTTTAAAAGCACTGGTTGTTCTTCCAGAGGATCTGGGTTCCATTCCCAGCAACCAGACAGTGGCTTACAACTCTATAGTTTGTTGAGATTTTCTTCTGGCCCTCACAGGCTCTGCATGTACATGGTGTACAGACATACATGCAGGCAAAAACATGCACACACAAAATAAAAAATGAAAAATAAATATACTTACTTAATTGTTCAACAAATGTTACACATAGAACACTACTTTAGAGGACAATAAGGAATTATTAGAGACCTTGTCTTCTAGGAGTTCACAATTTTTAAGAGCATGAAAATATTTCTGTTAAAATTTTTGGTGAGTGCTGGAGATTACATCCAGAGCCTTATGCATGTTAGGGAAGTGCTCTACCTCAGAGCTACATGTGCATTCCTTCTATGTTAATTCTGATTCACAATTATTTCTAGGCTAAAATCTACTTAATATTTACCTTTTGAACAGGGAAAATAAATGAAATTACATAATTCTAATATCCCTTTCTAAATTGGTAAGATCTCACATGAAAGATGATACTTTTGTAATATTTTACTAAGTTCAAGTAAAATAATTTCTAACTAAAATACAATTGTTATTTTCTGTATTCCCTTTCCATGAAATCACAAAATTATAACTTGGATAGTTCCTAACATTTGATGCAAAATGTGTGCATACAATGACTAAACTATGTGAATTATGAGGCGGTTAAGTTCATATAGATTTCACTGTTTGGTTTAAATAAGTATCAATGTTGTAATTTGACTCTTGCTTTAACAAATGATTATATAATTACCAACATATATTTCCTTTCTCTTCACCATATCTGTTTCTGTACTTACACTGTTACCTATGACAGTACTAAATCTAGGAAACTAGAGTAAGTGACCTGCTAAAATGAGCAATACTAAAGCAGAAATTACTAAATTCTTAGTGTCTGTAAAAATACAGCTAGCTCAAGGAGCCTTAGAAATCTGAATGCCTGGATGCCTTTTCTATTTATCATTTTAAAGTTTTTGAGTATATTTTTTTCATGTGTATGAGTGGTTTGCCTGCATGTATGTTTCTGTACCGCATGTGTGCCTGGTACCCAAGGAGAGCAGAAGAGGCTATTGAATCCCCTGGAAATGAAGTTTCAGAACACTGTGAATCACCATGTAGGTCTCAGATCCTCGAAGAACAAGGGTTTTTAACTGATGAGCCATCTCACAATTATCATATACTTTTTAAAAGAAAGTACATAGGAAAAAATTTGCTAAGTAAAAGTAAATTTGCCTTACATTTTGTAGGAAGCTTTAAAAACACAATTTGAACAAAAGGAAACTCTCCCTCAATTCTTTCTCTTTTATTGCTCTAACAAGCTGGATCTTAGAGTCGAAGACAACCTTGAGTTTCTTATCCTGCCTCTAACTGCCCGATAAACATGCTCCATTACTTTAAAAATAATTGTTTATTTAGTGTGCATGTATGTCCATGTGTGTGGGTAGTCATGTGTCATGGCACATTTGTGGAGGTCAGTGGGCAACTAGTGGGAGTAGGTTTTCTCCTTCCACCATGTGGGTTGAGGAGATCCAACTCAGGTTGGCTGGCTTGGCGGCAGGTTACTACATCTGTCAAGCCATCTTGCAGGTCCCACCACTTCTTTTTGAGATTTTTCCCATGTAGTCCCAACTGTCCTCAAACTCAAGGCAATTCTACCACCTCAGCTTTCTTACTGTTAGGAATGTGCTCTACAATGCTATTTGTACGGTGCTGGTGATCATGCATGGGCCACATGCATGCCAGGCAAGCACTTTACTGACTGAGCCACATCCCCAGTCCTCCAATTAGCTTAAAATCATTCTTTGATTTTGTAAATATAGACACCTTTAACAGTCAAATGCATTTCATATTGTTGTCTCATAGACTTTTCAACTCAGGTAGTAAATTCTCAATAAATTCTAGCAGTCAGTCTATGTGAATGGATTTAGCAAATTTATGTGGTTATGTCTTTCCGTTATTAGACTGATTAAATGCTATTAAGTTCCTGGATTTACTTCTGCATCAACAGTCTAATGTAGAAGGATTTAAGACTGGGTTCTAGAACCCAGCTATTTAGCTTTACTACTCTGTATTTATTTGAGTCCATTTTGTATTGAAGACCACAATGAAATTACTTTGAAATAATTAAGACTTTTTTTCAGGACTGAGAATTGAACCCAAGAGCATCATACTTTCTTGGACAATACTCTGCCACTGAGTTATAGCCCCAATTCTTCTTTATCTTGAGACAGGGTCTTGGTAAGTTGCATAGGTTGTCCTTGCATTTGAGATCCTTTGGCCTCATCCTCTGTAGCACCTGAGATTACAGGTGGGCATAATCATTCCTGCTTTAATTTATACTATTTAATGTGGACGTAGGAGGACTCACGTTTATAGCGGTAATATGAGGACAAATATTTATTGTGCTATTGCCATATATTATATGCCATATACTTAGTAAAATGATTTTATATAAATTATCTTATTTAGTTCTCAAAGCAACTGTTGAAACCAATATTTTACTAGTAGTAACTAAAGATCAAAAGGGTTAGTTAACTTACTCAAGTGCCAGTAAGTAAGCACCACACCCAGGGATTCTAACTCCAAAGTTCAAGTTCCTCCCACTATGTAATTCTACTCACAAAAATCAGTCACCATTTGTTAATTCTTACTATGAACCAAGTGACAAGCATGATAGGTTTTATGAATTTGCTACTCTAATTTATCTTGCCAGCAAATTAGCAAACTAGAGACTGCATTAGCTCATTCATATTAATGGACAGACTATAAACAGAAATCAATGGAGGCTTTTTAGCTGCTATATACTGGAACAGATATTATCAGCTACATTTCCCCAACTTCAAAACTGTGATGTTTGATGACATAACACACCTTCCTTTCAGACTTGTGCAGGGATGAAATATACTTTTGACTGACATCAGACTAATCTTTTTTGTCAGGATTAAAAGATTTGCACATTCACTGTTACTTAACACCTTGTGCAACATCAAAAGATAGCCTGGATATTTGCTTCCCCTTGTTTTCTAAAATCCAGGCCTTTAAAATTAAACATTATTTTTTATATGAAGCATAGGTTAGTACAAAAGCTACACAGATATTATTTGGGGTTATTTGGAGAAGCTAGCAGTGAAGTATAGACATCTACAGCTACAACTGCAGGGTAGTCTTTTTCTTTCAGGCAAAAGCTGTCCTAACTCACTGAGCAGGCAGCTTTGAAGGGAACACATAACAGTTGTGAGGGAGAAAGGGGTACCTGTATGGCTTGCTAGGTACACTAAATCAACTCTGGCTGATTTAATTGAGTGAAAGATGCCACAGCCAGATCACCTTCATATTCCAGTTATTTGATCCTTTAATTTTGTTTCAGGGCAAGACATATACTAACTGCCACCAGCAGGACATTCTCATGGCCTGAGCATACTCAAGGTTTTTACTCCCAGAGTTCCCAAATCACCTGACCCCACAAAACCAACCATAATTTAGGCCCAAGACTGTGTGACTAAAAAGTCAGTTTAAAATACAAGAATATAAAAAATGATGTTTTAATCTCTCACCACTGAGTTTAAAACATTGTTGTATGCAAAAAGTTAAACTGTGCTTTGAAAATGTATAAGACTTAATAGTCCTAATAATAAAACTTTGCAATTAATGTTACAATAGCATACCTAATGAAGGTTTCTAAAACACCATGCTCAGAACAGCTTAAGAAACTCATACTCTACCTAAGAGGGAATCATAACTAAAAATTGTATTATCCTCTAACCAAGGTACAAATGCCACCTCATCCTGTATTATCTGGAATTAGAAATCCAAATCTCCTTTCCTTCATTCTGTTCCTCATCCCTATTTCCATCCTTCACTTGTTTCCCATGTCTGTTTTCACCCCTAAGCCACACTGGGTTTCTACAAGATTTCAACAGTTCTTTTCTGGATCTAATCTTTCCAAGGTGTAAAATTATCCCAACACATTCATTACTTCCTCAGTTTTTTCAGTTTAGGAATATTATCAAGTGAATGGAAAAAAGGCATAAGTTACTGTTAAAGTAAGAAATCCAAGGACATTGTATGATATTAAATAGTGGATGTG